TGTGTTTGATTATAATTGTTTCTTGTTATTAAAATTTTCAGATGGATAGTAATGACAAACATGATGAAGAGCTCAGTGTCATTGTTACACAATTTGTTGGTACTGTAGCTTATATGTGTACATACTACTTACCACAATTTGATAGGGGTCCACAACGTAATTGTTATTTGACTAGATGAGAATTTGTGAGTGACATTATGCGATCTAATGAACACTGTCATAACTTATTGCGGATGAATGTGGAATCCTTTCAAAGATTCGTGTACATATTTCGAGGAACTGGGAGGCTGAAAGACACTGTGCATTGTAGCATTGAGGAACAACTTGCAATGTTTTTACACATCGTATCACATAGTGTTAAAAATCGAAGTGCAAAATACTACTTTAAGCGTTCAGGTGAAACTATATCTCGACATTTTAAAACCGTATTAGATGCAATAATAGGCATGGAAGAAGACTTCTTAAAACAACCTAGCTCTGAAACAGAGACACCAAAGGAGATACGCGATAATAACAGAATGTGGCCATATTTTAAGGTATTGTCTTATTTAAATAACCTAACATTACTTCAAAATACCTAAAAAAAATTAACTTTATAGATATTTTTTAATATAGGATTGTGTGGGAGCAATTGACGGTACACACCTCCTGGCAAAAGTTCCAGCTGAATATGTAGCAAGATTTCGTGGTAGAAAACAATGGCCTTAACAAAATGTATTAGCAGCTTGCACATTTGATTTGAGATTCACTTATGTACTAGCTGGATGGGAAGCTTTGGCATCCGATTCTAGAGTTTTAGAAGGTGCCACTCACAGAGAAAATAAACTTACATGTCCCCCAGGTAATTATGTAATTTTCAGGTATATATAATCCTTTTAAAACTTCTAAAAAAATTACTAAAACTACTATTGTAATTTTTTTAGGTAAGTACTACCTTGCAGATGCGGGTTTTCCTCTATTGGAGAATTACATTACACCCTTTAGAAGCACACAATACCACCTAAATGAAATAAGCGGGCGTGTTCCTACAACTTCAAAAGAATTGTTCAACCATAGACATTCTTCATCACGGAACGCAATTGAGCGAGCCTCTGGGATATTAAAAAAACGATTCCGAATCTTAGTAGATGAACCAATGTTTTATTTTAACACTCAAGTAAAGTTAGTGATTGCTTGTTGTATCGTGCACAACCACTTTCGGGGAGTGATGCCAGATGATCCACTTTTAAATGATGTTGATAACGAGATTAGTACTCAACCAGTATATACTCATGATGTTGTTGAGACACATTTAACTAGGACTGAAGACGGAAGGGAAGGCAAGAGAATTCGAACACAAATAATGAACGAAATGTGGCATGATTTTAGTAGTGGACGTCGCTAGAATTTATATTATCATTAATGTAAACTTGTTTTTCAACATTTTGCTCGCTTGTATATGATAAGTTGATTTTGGTGGACACAAGTATTTATTAGATTGCAGTGCATTTCTATTTTCCTCAATAAAATTCTTGAATGGTACAATTTTGCTGAGTTTGTTTAGGATAACCAATAGGCTAACTAGTAGTACTAACATTATGTTTATACTCTCAAGGATTCTTACAATGACAATAATTTTTTGCATCAATTGTTTAGTTTTGGTAAAACTTTAAATTGTTTAGAATTGTATAGTTTAATTTTATTCGAATGTAATTGTTGAATTATTGTTCTTTTCTTTGATTTAATATTTAGTTGATATTATTAATTTTTATAATAGGAATGGAGCCAAATGGGAAGAAAAAAGGCAAGAATGTGGTATGGTCTAAAGAGATGGATAACTGTCTTATTATGGAACTTGTGCATCAAGCTAATGAGGGCTATAAAGTAGATAAAGGTTTCAAAGAGCATACTTATACCACAGCTTGTTCAATTTTAAATTCAAATTTTCAGCTGTCACTAAATCGAGAACATTGTGTTAATCGCTTGAAAACTATTAAGAAAAAGTATAGACTTATTCAAGATATGTTGAGCAAAAGTGGATTTTCTTGGAATGGGGTTATGAAAATGGTAGAATGCAGCGATCAAGTATGGGCTTCATTTGTTACGGTATGTACTTATTTTCAAATAATACTTTATTTGATAATTTTTAAATTAATCTAAGATTACTTATCTTTATTCATATTCTTAACTCTCTTCTTTCAATTTTACTTTTCTTTTACATACTTCCTTTTTTTATCATTACAGTGGACTTTTTAATGATAGTTACAAGTTTTTTAGATGCATGCATTTATATTACCTTTTATTTATTTATTAATATTTGATTCTTTCAAATGTTGACTAGGCAAATCCTGATGCAAAGGGTTTAAGAGGTAAAAAAAAATGACTTGATTGATGAATTGACTATAGTTTGCGGCACTGATCATGCAACCGGAGAATGGGCTAGTTCTGCGAAGGATATAAATGCTAATATGTCAAAGCAAATGAATGATAGTGAAGAGGAATATACACCTTTAGCGAATCCTGGTGGCAACATGATTGGGGATGACTTAGGTGACTCTGAAGGTAATTGTTTTGCTAATCCATCGGGTAATATTGGTAGCCAAACAACTGGGGACAAGCGTAACCAAGGATCTTCTTCATGTCCATCAAAACGTCGTGTGAAGAAACCACGAACCGCAGAAAGTGTTGCTGAAACAATGACTACTATTGCAAATAACATGGCAAGATTAGCTGATGCATATGAGAAAAGCAAGCCATGTATCAATTATTCAGAACTTTACAAAGCTGTGATGGATGTTGAAGAGCTTGATATCCCTAGCCGAATGAATGCATTTGAGTTCTTGAATGCTGATCCTATCAAAGCAAGAGCCTTTCTGATTTATCCTTCTGAGATGCGTTACTTGTTTTTACTTCGACAACTCTTCCCAAGTAGTTCTTCTACTATTTAAATTTTTATGGAAAAACTTTGTTTTATGAATGTTTTATTAAAAGACCATATTGAACTTTTGATTTGGTATATTAATGCAAGTTAATTCCGTATGGATATGCATATATATATATATATATATATATATATATATATATATAGTTATATGGTGAAATATTTGATTTTTCTCTCAAAGGGTAGTTTTGGTATGTATAATCATTTTCTTTTCACTTTCATGCTATCCAAACTAACAAACTAATATTTTTCTACAATTTTCTTGGATAAATTTTCATGCTAACCAAATGCATGCTAGAAAATTACTTTTCTTGTTATTCACTTCACTTTTCTTTCACTTTTTATTTCTTTTCTTTTCTACCTTATTTCCATCTAACCAAACGGAAAAGAGAAAAGTGAAGCGATAGAAACTTAGAAAGAGAAAGTAAAGGATAAATATTAAGGATATTCTTGTCATTTGTTAAACAATTATCGTTTGAAAACTGTTTAAGTAGATGAAATGGCCAAAAACACGTCAAATTCGGTGCATATTCAGGGTTAATTCTTTGGTCCTCTTATCATTATTCATTTTTTTATTGATGCTATAACTGTTGGCTTCAGTGTTGGGCCTGGACTCTTCCATAAATGAACTGGGCCTTCAAACCTATTGGGCTTGGTTTAGCGCTTACACCTTGGGGGCTCCTTGCTTTAACCGGATCAAATTTTATTTTTTCTTTGACAAAAAAATGAAGATAATTGCTCATTTGATTTTAGATAACATATACATTTTATTTCTTGGTTGTGAGTTTTATTATTATTCATTTGTTGTATAAATTTGTATTTACTTTAATAAGCTAAATTCATGTAGCAGTGATTTATTGAGGGTTTTATTTTTATTTTTATTTTTATTTTTGAAAGGTAAAAAATTAAAAAATTAAAAAAAAAAAAATCATGGTTTGAAACTAAACCGTTGATTCGATTTGGTTCCACCAGCTCTAATTCCAGTTTCAATTTTAATCATTAAAACTGATTCCGTTTAAATTTAGTGTGTACTCCTAGAGATAAACTCCCACGTTGTAGGCCATGGGTACGCATGGACCTATGGAAAATTGGAAATGCATGCCAGACGCCAGAACCCATATTCGAAAGAAAGAAGGCGGGTAATAGTTCTTTTTCCTTCTTCTTTTGTTTTTTTTTTCTCTTTAATAATGGGATATCCCCAATTCAAATACCTAAAGAATAATAAAAAGAATCTAATTGAAGTGTATTTTGTCATAGTTTTCTGGAAGAGTTATGTGCATCAATAAAAACGCATCATATTAATTTTTTGTCAAGTTTTTTTTATACATAAAATAGTTATATTTATTTTTTCGATACAAATTAAGTGACTTTATTTCGTACATGCCTAAAGAATTACTAACAAATAACTGGTATCATCTATTTTTAATTATATAAGTATACCAACAACATGGCGTATTGAATGTCTTCTTCAAATTATGAGTTTGAAAGAGAAATTTTAATTTGACTATGTCCATAATTATAGAGATTGTGTCCATCAAAGAATGGATATGATGCAAAAAAAGGTGTGATTGTCAAGTAGATTAGGAAATGCAGAGAGTCGAAATCTTACACTTCAAAATTCACCGAAGGCAATAACCTACTGAATTATAAAAACATTTGTTTTATTCCACATACAAGTCTTATCTTTTTATTATCATAAATTAAAAATAACAAAAAAAATTAATTTTTATTAGAATAAATTACACATGAATAAATCATTTAGCAAATATTACTTCGACACTTTTTTAGTATGAAAAGTTAATAATATTTTTTATATTTTAAATTTTTTTATAAAAATTTACTTTTTGATCCAACACTATTAAAAAATAACCCACTCAAAGGATGGGCAAGATGGTAATTTTAAAAATAATAATAATAATCAGAGAAAAAGTATTATTGAGCACACTCGCATAAGATCAAAGTAATAAATTTGTGTAATTTAAACAAATTTAAATTATATACAGGTAGTTGGTTAAAATCTAAGAAAAAGAACTATAATACCAAATAAATTGGTATGAATTTGTAAAGACTCAAATTATCATCTCACAAATTTTCAATTTTTTATTTCTAAAACAAAATTGGTACTTAAGCAAGTGTAAGCTTTTCAAGTCAGCATTGGTAAATTCTCTTCCTTTTTAAAATGAAAGGAAATGATGAGAAAAAAGCTAGATCATAGTAATCACATGTGAATTTTTATTTTGTTCTTGTTACCCGCAAAACTTACTGTACTATTATTTTTTTTCCAAAATATGGTGACAAAATTCTTCTTTTCAATTCATCATATATAAATTGCACGACTCAAAAAATAATAAATAAATAAATAAAGGAAGAATTTTTGCAAATTAAAGTTACATGTTTTTATCTATTATATTATTTTTGCTAATTTTTTGTTTTGGGGTTATTTTCTTATTCACTTTGGTTACAAATTACAATTATGTTTGGAAAATGATATGTATCACAAATTCATTCTCCTTAATAAGAAAACCTGGATAAGTTTTCATAATAAAAAATCTGGTCGGGTAAGTTTTAAAAATAATTTAAAGAAAAATAGTGATAGTTATACCAAATATTTACAATAAATTGACTAATTAATTATTTATATCAAATACAATTAAGACCTCCGCTTCCACTTCGTTTCTTTTCTTTTCTTTTTTGCAACAAAATTTTATGTTCACTGTTAAGAAAACAAAAAAGAATAAAGGGATAAAAATGTATGAAAAACTAGGATAACAATTTTGATATTCACTGTGTTGCTGCATAACCACCCCCACCACCTCCACGAAGTTCTCCGACGACTCAGTGCGAATCTCCGGCCGAACCCAATCCTTCTTTCCGGCGAGTCTTCAACTCCTCAATCAAAGCAACAGCGTCATTATAAGAGGACCCACCTTCTTCCACCGCTCTCCTCGCCTTCTCCGCCAACTCCTTCGCCCGACGCCTCATCTCCGGCGTCTCACCGCCTCCCATCAACCGCCGCACCGCCGCCTCCACCTTCTCCCTCCCCACCACCTCCTTCCTCTCCATATTCCACGACGCCCACTCCAAACTCCCCACCCTCACCCCAATCCGCAACACCTCCGTCACCAGCTTCTCATTGTAGAACTGCTCCGCCGAGAGCGGCCAAGTCACCATCGGCACGCCAGCGCAAACACCCTCCAGAGTCGAATTCCACCCACAGTGGGTGATAAAACCCCCCACCGCCTCGTGTTCCAAGATCAGTAACTGTGGAGCCCACCCTTTGATGATCAACCCTTTCTGGGTTTCCATCATTCTCTGCTTAAACCCATCGGGTAACCAATTTTTATCACTTTTCTCATTAGATTCCATTATTTTTCCGATCACCAAAATGAAACTGTAATCAGACGACTCGAGACCGTAAGCAATTTCATGGAGCTGAGTCGGCTTCAATCGAACTAGGCTACCAAAACTAACATATAAAACTGAATTGGGAGTTTTTGAATCGAGCCATTTCAAGCAGCTCTGTTCATCAATGGCGGAATTTTGCCCTCTTTCGGCTTTATCTGCAACGTTTCTGTTGCAGAGCGAGACGGGTCCGATTAGATATGCCTTATTTCCCATGACATTTCTGAAACAATCAACATAAGCAGGCTCCAATTCATAAAAGCTATTGATGACTTGGGCAAAGCTGTTTTGCTCGGCTCTCGTGGATTTCCCGGGAAATTCAATTTCTCTTCTCGCGAAGATCGAAAGCTGAGACCTCGTCAATTCGATCCGATCAGGAAGACCCTCGAGAACGAAAGGCTCTGAATCAGAACCCACCTTCAGATGAGGCTCGTGTTTTTTAATACTGTCTTCGCAGACGCGAGAGAAGCAGCAATTGCCGTTGAAGATGACTCTGGGGACGCCGATGGCGTCGACGACGTCGGGGACCCAGCGGTGGAACGTGTCGGTGACGAGGCAGTCGGGGCGGCGGCGGAGGAGGAGCTGCTTGAGGGGTTCTTGGAGGATGGAGGTGTCGGTGAAGGGCGGGGCCGACATGTCGACGGAGGAGATGGTGGTGAGCTGCTCGCCGGGCGGTGGTTGGAGGGTGTGGAGGTGGATGTCGTGGCCGGAGCTTTTGTCGCGGTTGATGACTTTGTGGAAGACGACGGCGTCGTTTGGGATTGCGAGTATGGTGGCTTTGACACCGTGAGAGGCAAATAGTCTGGCGAGGTCTATCATTGGGATCAAGTGACCTCCACCCACAAATGGGAAGAAGAACATCTCCAGTTTGGTAGATTCTGAGTCCATGGCTGCCTAGAGAGAGAAAATGAAGATAGAGCGAGAAAGAGGGGGTTGTAATGGAAGTTTAAACTAGGTATCGCTTGGACATATATAGCATCCATGTCTTTTTACTATTGAAAACTCTTACCTGTATTATCAATTTAATACTTTGAACTCTTCCAGTATCAATTTTAAAAGACTTTAATGTTGCCTTTGGAACATTGTATCAGTATCTCTTGAATATTTAATTAACAAATTTAAAAAAGTTAGTTAAGTAAATGATAATGACATCATCATAATAACATTATAGTTAATAACAATATCATAATATTATTTTTTACTCACGTAACAAAAATTAGATTAGTTTGATAAGACTATTTTATCATTTTCATGCGTTAAATGACTTCTAGACTTAATCTGTTTTGCGGCGCTAACACACCATTATATTATGCATATTAGTGTCTTACTCCAAAACATGGTCGGTGTACTACAACAAGACTAGCAATTGATAATGATATATATATATATATATATATATATATATATATATATATATTTCACAGTTTCATACCCAAACAGCCACAAAGAAGAAAAAGACTTTCAGTCGAAATATGGACCAACAGTTGAAAGAACCTAGTCTTGAGTAGGCTTGTGGGATTGATAAGGACCTTAGCGCTGACTATTAGCTAAGATATAGAAGAATTTATAATTTTCTATTAATAATTTGCCAATCCAGTGCACAAAAGTAAAAGTTTAAAGAAATAAATTCGTGTAATTTTTTTCTATTCATAAATTTTTTTCCTTAATTATCAAAGGGTGTGAACCAAATATGAAAAGATGCGATTTGAATAGGTACTTTTTAATTATTATAAGCATGGCATCCCATGCAAATATGCAACTGAAGCCATAACACACAAAGAATAGATATTAAACAGTTTTGTGATCCATACATGAGAACTCATTCTAGTATGATTCACTCAGTACCTGATCAGAGATTGTGGACTTATGTGCATTGTAGCCATGTGGAAGCTTCAGTTCCAAGAAAAAAGTTAGACAAAAAAAAGCCAGGAAAGGAGATGAAGATGAACCTGCACCTGCAACTAGTGATGCTAGAAAGAGCAAATCCCAACAATGCTCACAGTGGGAGAATATGGGCACAACAAGAGAACATGCAAAGTAGGTCCACCCAAACAGGTAACTCACTTTTAATATTAAGTCATAACCTAATGCCCTTTAACTTGTGACATTATTTGACATTATATAAGAGTTTGCTGGAACATACAAATACAGCAACAACCAGTCAAGTTGGAAGTGGAAGTTCAAGTTTTACAAGTTAATAAGTTTTGCCGGAGATTAAGCTACTGGACTGAACTGCAACAATACTGAAACTAAATAGGGAAGAAAAAAAAAGGTTACACGGACTAAAGGACAAAAAAAATCCGGCACCTAACACAATACATTTTATTTTATTTTTTTATTATTATTTTTTTTACAACAGATTCAATAGAGAGGTCAGGAAAAGTGATACAGAGGTACAGAGGAAACAGATAAAATGAGAAACCAAGGAGCTAACAAAGACACGGATGAAGCTCCATCAGAAATACAGAAAAATAAATAAATAAATAAATAACAGAGGCAACCACCAAGATGAAGAAGAAGGGCTAAACCCTTTTTAGTCATTTCACAAAATATTATATATATATTATAAAATGTGTTGCTAAGGGCATTTTAGTCCAATTTTTATAAATAGGATCTATTTGCACAAATGTTATAGTTTAGGAGTGTTTTTTGCACGAAAGGAATGCAATATGCACTGTAAACATATTATAAGAGTGTTTTTTGCACTTGGCCTATTTTAAATTTATATGATATTATACCATCCACGGAAAAATGAGTTTTTATGCTCTACAAAAAGAATGTGTGACTTGTGGTGGGCCCAATACTATGAAATGGCATATCCTAGGAATCAATCCATCGACTAAACAAAGTTTTTACTTTTTGCTATCAAGCTTTTTTTTTTTTAATTTGGGAAACTCACACATACTGTATCCAGTGAGGTTCGAACCTCTAACCTCCCTTTGAGAAGTATGAACCTTATACCACTAAGTCACAGGCCTGTTGGTAAGTTTTTATTAAGATAAATTACACTATACTTCTCTAAAGATTAGGGACTTGTTTGGCTGGACTTTCTGTAACCTCAAAACGGGCTTCTAAGTACAAAAAGTCATTTGCCAATAATAAAGAGCGTTTAGTAAAATTTCTGAAATGGACTTTTAAAAAGTCTCCGATTGACCAAAGCCAATCAAATATGTTTCCTAATTGACTTCCCACAAACTACACACTTTTTTAAGTAATAAATATAAAATTTCAATATTGTCCATTATTTAACTTATTTCTATTACTGAATTTCATTGCAAACTTTTATCTTTCTATTTTTACATCATCTTCTTCTTTCGTTCTCTACCGAAAAATTTTAAAAAATAATGCTGAGCAAAATTTCACAAAACTTCATTGAAAAAAATATTATTGAAAAACAATTCAACAAAGGAAGAACAAAAAGATTGAGCAGTTGCATGAAAAAATAATATTGCCTCCTATTTGACTTCATTGTCTGAAGAGTTCCAAGATTTATAAACTCTCATCCAAACTTCAATCTATGTGGAATTCTAAATAATTTTTTTTCCTCTAAAATATATATATATATATATATATATATAGACACACACACACACAATATATATATATGTGTGTGTGTGTGTGTGTATAATTTTTTTTTCTTTTTTGAAGGCTACCCATTCCGCTGTTAAAGTGATTTATAAATATAAATAAGAATAAAAATGGAATATTTTTGCTGCCATCTCTCTCTTTTGTTTATTTTTCTTTCCTTTTCTTTTTTCCATCCCTTTCAACTTCTATCATGTAGTCAAGGAAAAAAAAAAATTCTACAATGTAAATTGGGTTAAATTTGTATATCCTGATCTTCAGTTTGCCAATTAATCGTTGTTATATCATTAGCAATTTCACTCCATCACTTTAATTATGATTTTTTTTTCTTTCCTTCTTTGTACATTCCAATTCAACTCTTTACTATTATTCATGGTTTATTAAGGATATAATTGTCAAGTTAAATTATGTTACTAGTTAAAAGAGCTTCAAACAATTTATCCACCAAACAACTTTTTTGTTTTAAATTCCTTTTATCAAAATGCATTCTTCAAAGCCGATTGAGTGGAAGGAATTTTAGAAAGTAAAAGTTTCGCCAAACAGGGCCTAGATAACGTACATATAAATAAACCGTTTAGCTTGTATTACTTTGACACTCTTTTAAGTGTAAAAAGTCAATAATATCTTTTATATTTTAATTTTTTTATGAAAACTTATTATTTTATTCGACACTATTAAAAAATAAGGTGAAAATCATAAAACCTCCCTCTTGCTTTCAAAAACTATCAATTAACTCCCTTAATCACTCCATCCCCGTTAGCTTCCCGTCTAAAATTAATAGGACCGTATCACGTGAAAATCATGTGCGACAGTTACATCATTTTGCTGACCAAAATAACCTTGTAATTCGTAATGACAAAATTGCCCTTCTCACATTATAATTTTAGTTTAATAAAATATTAAAATACTATCAAGGGCATTGTTATCATTTCGCAATAACTTAATGTGGGCAACGTGATAGTTTTTGCTAGTTCAAGGGATTTTTTTATAACTGGGGGGTTATATGACGTTCTTGGAAACAACAAGGGGTTTTTATGATTTTAGCCCTATTAAAAGGAACGGCAAGATGATAATTTTATAAAGAATAATAATAATAAGGGAAGGAGTGTTATTGAGCACACTTGCAGGCGATTAAAGTAATAACTTTGTGTAATTTAAACCTCAATGTAAATTTATCCTTTTTATTATATATAGGTAGTTGGCTAAAATCCAAGAAAAAGTGCTAGAATGCCAAATAAATTGGTATGGATTTTATGGATTTATAGGGACTCAAATTATCATCTAACAAAATTGGACTTAGATCCTCTAAGTTATCCGAAGTTGAATTCTCTACAGATTGACATGTGACATTTAAAATCTATCTACTATTTGTGTTAAATCACGTCAACTAATTTAAAGAAAGTTTGAAAGCCGCATTGTTTTGAGACAAAAAAATTTTACCAAAGTTTGAAAACTGTACCATTTTGAAATTAAAAAATAAAAAAATCACTATTCTTTAACGAAGTTTACGTCGTTCTCTCTCCCTCATCTTTTCCAAAAAAAGATGATTGGGGGAATATTTTGTGCCAAAAATGAATGCTCTTTCCCACCATTTTTGGCGCCTAGAAGTTTTGGTTCACTCTCTTTTTCTGAAATCTGAATTGCAAAATTCCCCTCTTTTTTTAAAATTTAAACTACAAAATCCACCACAAAGGCTTTTAATTTGCACATTCATTTTTGGCTCGAAATATTTCCCCAATCGTGGGAATAAGCAAGAGGAGAGGGAGAGGGAGCGATTGTTTTCCAGAAAAGATGAGGAGAGAGAATGATGTTAACGTCGTTAAAGTATGGTGAATTTTTCTTATTTTCAAAAGGTACAGTTTTCAAATTTTGATAAATTTTTCTTATCTCAAAACGGTACAATTTTAAACTTTTAATTAAATTAATGGGTTAATTTCACTAACGCCCCCTCAGGTTTGACCAAATATCACTCTGAAACAACTTTCGAGAATTACTATCACTTAGGTTCAATTTTACTTTTTCATCATTAACACCGTAAAAAACGTGTGAAAAGACAAATCTACCCTTATTTTTAAAATTCATTTTAAACTAAAATATCAATAAATTTAAAAAGACAAAATTGTCCCTGACAGTTTCTCTCTCTAAAATATATATGTGTGTGTGTATATATATATACACAAATATATATACAAATAGGCTAGGTGGCCTTGCACCAGCAACAACGACGGCGATGATGATGGCGACGGTGATGGAACTACTCCAAAGATAATGAAGACCAGCAACGATTCCGACTAGGTTTTATCTGAAACAATCATTCCCACAAACAAAAACCCAAATCACCATCGACCCTGTGAGCTAGAGTTTTGGGGTGACTCCCATGAAGCCACAAGGCCGCCGCGTAGAATCCTTATTTGTCCCCTTTTCCGGTGCCTCGAACACCTCTCAAGTTGCATACAAGTTTAAGAGCAATCAGAGGGTCTTGGTCCAAGGCTAACTGTAACCGGCGGGTTATTGCTTTGGAGGGTATATCAGGAACCACATAGAAGAAGAAATCTAGACATGAATTTCCAGTGGATAAGAAATCTGGGGAGGGGTTTTGTGTCAAACCCATATTTAGTGGCTCCTTATTGTAACCGGAGACCATCAAATCCGTGAAGGGTTTGCTGATGGCTGGGGTCGGGGTGTAAATTTCTGGTGGACCGACTAGTGGAAATGGAAGGTCAGATTCCAAACTTTGACTGCTAAGATTATACATGTAGCGCTTTATCAGTGGGGGACGAAATTTTGTATAGCGGATGTCTCTGAATCGAACACATCTGAGATTTGCTTGAAGCAACATTTTGATGTAGAATTAGAAACATATAAGAATCTGACATTAAAAAAAATGGTTAATATTACGCCTTCACCTTCTTCTCTCTGCGCGACGTCGTTCCTTGCTGTCTGATCTCCGATCCACAACCTCTCATTTATCTATATATACATACACATATATATATATATATATATATATATATATATATATATATTCACATGAAGAAGGATAGAAGGTCAGGTCCAGATTTGGGACAGCGCCGGCCAAACAAATCTCGTCACGTTACGCTCGCACTCCAAGGCCACGATCGGAGTGGAATTTCAGACGGCAAACGCCGGCCAAGCGATAGGCTCTGTTTGCAATGGTTTGAAATTTGTTAATTATTGGTCTCAATTTTTTCTTTTATTGAATGAGTTACGATTGATTGGTTTGTGTACCAGACATTAATTACTCAATTGGTTTTTTTTTTTTTAATTCACAATTGGGTTATCTGATCTCCATAACCTCCAAATGGGAAGGAAAAAGAGAAATGTGCGTGATATATGAGTGGGTAGGTTTTTAAAATTACATAAACACCCATAATTTTTATGAGGTGGTAGATTTTAGTAGGGGTAGTTTTGTATAATAGTTTTTCCATTTATATATATATATATATATATAATATAATATAATATAATTGTAAATTGAAAAATATTTAGGGATAATTTAGTCTTTTAATCTAGTTTTGTAGGTCAAAGCATCATTTTGACAAAGTCAAAGGGTATTTTAGTTAATTTACATGGTGTCAAAACTCTGCATGTGACGATTGGGGCGTGAGTGAAAAACGGAACAAATATATACAATATGGGTGACAGTAATTTTTGAAAGTTGTTTTAGAGTGATATTTGGTTAAACCTCAGGGGTTATTAATGAAATTAATCCTAAATTAATTGACATAGTTTAACACAAGTAGCAAATAGATTTTAAATATCACGTGTCAATTTGCAGATAATTTAACTTAGAATAACTTTAAAAATATTTAACTTAGAGGACTCAAATCCAACAAAATTTTAATTTTTTATTCCCAAAACAAAATTGGTACTTAAGCAAATGTAAGCTTTTCAAGTCAGCATTGGTAAATTCTTTTCCTTTTTAAAATGAAAGGAAATGATGAGAAAAAGATAGATAATGGCAATCACACCTTAATTTTTATTTTGTTCTTTGTCACTCGCAAAACTTCTTGTACTATTTTTTTTTTTCTTCCCAAAATATGGTGACAAAATTCTTCTTTATAATTCATATATAAATCGCACGAATTCAAAAAAAAAATCGCAAATTAAAGTTACTTGTTTATATCTAAGGTAATTTACAGTTACCTCCCCTGCAGATAGGTCAAATCACGCCTGCATCCCCTCTAATTTGGATAATTTCGCTTACCTACCTTAATTTAAAAACTTTGTAAAAAACACACCCATCTGGTCAGCTTCTGGCACAGTCAACGCTGACATCATTACTTTCTCACCCTCAAAATGACTATACTACCCCTGTAATGTCCATGAAGACAATTCTGTCCTCTTTAAAGAAAATACAATTACCAAATCACCTTCATACCTCATATCCCCCCCACCCCACACACACACACACACACACACAGAACTCCTTCCATCATGTTCAGGTCTGATGGGTTCGCAGACAGCGAATCGTCATATGGCCGGGTTTGTTGGTCGCCGAAGGAGACGACTTTGATGAAACCATGGTGGAATTCGAGTCAGCGGCGAGTGTGGACGTGTAGCTGTGGTTTTCTCAAATTCCATGATCTTCTCCTCAAATATGTGTATGCATATCTGGGTATGTCAATGTGCGTTTAAGAAAGGTGTCACGGTGTGGTTAAGAAAGAAAATTGATGGGGGTTCTGATTGAGGGATATAATGGATTCCAGACCACGTTTCTGGAAATTGATCAGAATTTGTTTAGGGTTTCGTTTGGAGACGTGTCTGGTAATTGATTCGAATTTATTTAGGGTTTTGATTTGAGATGTAGAGCGTATTGTTTAGCGTTTCAATTAGAGACGGAAATGGGTCAACAATTTCATTGTGTTCCACTCTGCTGGAGACGAAGATGGAGAGGGTTTCAATCTCGATTGGAGAAGAGATTGACTTTGATGTTGTGTGTGTGTGTGTGTGTGTGTGATTATACATATTGATTTTGATGTAAGGCTTATGGTTTGGTGGTAGAAAGATAAAGACAATGGTGGTGGGGGATGGTTGGGTGGTTTGATCGAGGTGTCACGATGGTGGGTTTTGACGAGGTTTCGGTGGTGGTGCAATGGGCGGCGAGAGGTGGTGGGGGTTGATTGGGTGGTTTGATTGACGTTAAGTTGGTGGGGGTTGATGGCGAGGTGTCACGATGGTGGGTTTTGCCGAGGTGTCGGTGGTGGTGCAATTGGGTTGGGGGGGTGATTTCATTGAGTGGTCTGATTGAGGTTAAGTTGGTGGGGGTTGATTGGGTCGGTTTGGGATCTTGAGTACTCACACTCATTATCTGTGCAGAAGAATTGATGAGGAAGACGAAGAACCTAATTCTCTCTTTCTACAATTTTTCACTCTCTCTCTTGCTTTATTATAATTGTATTTTATACCACTAAATGTGCAATAGCCATAAAAGTAAACTAACAATCAAGATTTTTTAGATTAAAAATGAATTAAAATAACGAGGATAGAAGAATAATTTCATTACTCCGGTCACCGCATATGAACGCCGGCCACTTGTAGGGGAAGTAACCGAAATTATGCTAACTAGGAGAGATGCGGACGTAATTTGACATGTCTTTAAGGGAGGTAACTGTATATTACCTTTAGTTTATTTATTTTATGTTTTTTCGGAGTTATTTTCTTATTCACTTTGGTTATAATTCTGTTTGGAATGATACATACCATTTTCCTTAATAAGAAAGCCTGCTCGGGTAAGCTTTAATAATAATCTAACGAATATACAATTCATATAAGATACTTATCCAACAAAAAAATAACATATGACAGCTAATTTCATTCTTTTTTACTTTTCTTTCTTTGTAACAAAATTTGTTTTTTTTGTTTTTTTTTTTTTTTTTTTTCAAGACAAAATTTGATATTCACTGTTAAGAAGAAGAACAAGGGATAAATATGTATGAAAAACCTAGGATATTCAATGTAAGTGTTGCTGCATAACCACCCACACCACCTCCACAAAGTTCTCCGACGACTCAATGCGAATCTCCGGCAGAATCCAATCCTTCTTTCCGGCGAGTCTTCAGCTCCTCAATCAAAGCAACAGCGTCATTATAAGACGACCCACCTTCTTCCACCGCTCTCCTCGCCTTCTCCGCCAACTCCTTCGCCCGACGCCTCATCTCCGGCGTCTCACCGCCTCCCATCAACCGCCGCACCGCCGCCTCCACCTTCTCCCTCCCCACCACCTCCTTCCTCTCCATATTCCACGACGCCCACTCCAAACTCCCCACCCTCACCCCAATCCGCAACACTTCCGTCACCAGCTTCTCATTATAGAACTGGTCCGCCGAGAGCGGCCAAGTCACCATCGGCACGCCAGCGCAAACACACTCCAGAGTTGAATTCCACCCACAGTGGGTCATAAAACCCCCCACCGCCTCATGTTCCAAGATCAGCAACTGTGGAGCCCACCCTTTGATGATCAACCCTTTCTGGGTTTCCATCATTCTCTGCTCAAACGCATCGGGTAACCAATTTTTATCACTTTTTTCATTCGATTCCATTATTTTTCCGATCACCCAAATGAAACTGTGATCAGACGACTCGAGACCGTAAGCAATTTCATGGAGCTGAGTCGGCTTCAATCGAACTAAGCTACCAAAACTAACATATATAACTGAATTGGGAGTTTTTGAATCTAGCCATTTCAAGCAGCTCTGTTCATCAATGGCGGAATTTTGCCCTCTTTCGGCTTTATCTGCAACGTTTCTGTTGCAGAGCGAGACGGGTCCGATTAGATATGCCTTCTTTCCCATGACATTTCTGAAGTAATCAACATAAGCAGGCTCCAATTCGTAAAAGCTATTGATGACTTGGGCAAAGCTGTTTTGATCGGCTCTCATGGATTTCCCGGGAAATTCAGTTCCTCTTCTGGTGAAGATCGGAAGCTGAGAGCTCGTCAATTCGATCCGATCGGGAAGACCCTCGAGAACGAAAGGCTCTGAATCAGAACCGACCTTCAGATGAGGCTCGTGTTTTTTAATAATATCTTCGCAGACGCGAGCAAAGCAGCAATTACCGTTGAAGATGACTCTGGGGACGCCGATCGCGTCGACGACGTCGGGTATCCAGCGGTGGAACGTGTCGGTGACGAGGCAGTCGGGGCGGCAGCGGAGGAGGAGCTGCTTGAGGGGTTCTTGGAGGATGGAGGTGTCGGTGAAGGGCGGGGCCGACATGTCGACGGAGGAGATGGTGGTGAGCTGCTCGCCGGGCGGTGGTTGGAGGGTGTGGAGGTGGATGTCGTGGCCGGAGCTTTTGTCGCGGTTGATGACCTTGTGGAAGACGACGGCGTCGTTTGGGATTGCGAGTATGGTGGCTTTGACACCGTGAGAGGCAAATAGTCTGGCGAGGTCTATCATTGGGATCAAGTGACCTCCACCCACAAATGGGAAGAAGAACATCTCCAGTTTGCTAGATTCTGAGTCCATGGCTGCCTAGAGAGAGAAAATGAAGATAGAGAGAGAAAGGGAAATGTTCATGGAAGTTTAAACTAGGTGTCGCTTGGATATATATTGTGTTTTTTCAACATTTTGTTGCGTGGTACCCAATTAAGGAACAATGTCGTATCATGTCTTTGTACTTTTGAACTCTACCTGCATTATCAATTTAATTGCCTGATTTGAATATTATAATCTTCTATTTAGATGACTTGCAGTATTTAATTTACTTTTAAAAATTTTGAATTAAAGTTTAAGTCAATTTAAATGTGAGTTGAAGTGAGAGTGTTGTGTAACAAAAATTTACTAGTACTTAAATAGTATTAAATTTAATTTTTTTTTAAAACTTTAATGTTGCCTTTGGAACATTGCATCAGTATCTCTTTTATTTTAAATTCAAGGCACTTAATTAACAAATTTAAAAAGTTAATTACGTGAATGAAAAATGAGCATTATAAGTCTTATGAACTATTTATCATTTTCCTGTGTTAAATGACTTCTAGACTTAATATGTTTTGCGGCCGGAACACACCATACGGTGTACTACAACAAGACTAGCACTTGATAATGATATGTATTCATACCCTAACCATATATATATATATATACACACACACACACACACGTAGTATATATAAATTTTCACAGTTTCACACACAAAGAAGAAAAAGTTGTTTAGGCGAAATCAATGGACCAACAGTTAATAGAACCTAGTCTTGAGTATACTTGATATCCATGAGGACCTTAGTGCTGGCTATTAGGAAAGATATATAAGCATTTATAATATTCTATTAATTATGTGCCAATCCAGTGCACAAAAGTAAAAGATTAAAGAAATAAATTCATGTAATTTTTTCCTTTTCGCATCTTCTTCTTCATAAATTTTATTCCTTAATAGTCAAAAGGTGTGATCCAAACATGAAAAGATGCGATTTGAATAGGTATTTTTTAATTAATTAGTATAAGCATGTAGATACCGTGTAATTCAATGTACTTTATAAAAATAAAAATTTTATGACAAGTACGCGTCAGTATCAATTTATCCGGACCAAAAATTTCTTTACTCTTTAAATATTCAATATCAGTTTGTCACGTTGAGAGAAGAGGAGAATTGAACTCTAGACTTATAGAATGGGGATATTAAAGACCTGACTCTGACTCTTTATCAGTCAGACAATACCGTCACACCTATATAATATTTATGGTGATTACTAGGATGAAATTATAGAAAAAAATCCCCCAACAAAAGCTTGTCACAAAAGCATTTGACTGCACGTCAAGAACATCTTTAGTGGGCTCACGAGCATTATCATAGCACTGGATTAGAGTCCTTTACATTATATATATATATATATATAGTTTAAAAATCTTTAACTACTTCATATACCCAATCACACAATTCTCGTACCGCGCATCTATTCTTACTTTTATTCTATGTGGCTTATATTTGGCGGTTTTCGTTTTCACTCTCACTTATTCTTGTTCCTGCTTTGACTTAATGTCTACCTAAATTCTGCCGTTTAATTAAGAGCTTAAATAATAAAACTTTCGATACTTTCATTTTTTTTATTCTTATTTGTAAAAATTCTAACAGAATTATAAAGTTATCACTTTATTTCAATTCTGTGAATAAATGGTTAAGAGTTTATGAAATTACTAAATTACCCTTATAATATTTAAAATAAAAATTCATATTTTACAAATTACAATATTACCTTCTTGCACAAAACGATCCGGTCTCCAGAGCAGTTAACTCTCTATCTCTTCATGGAGTATAACTATTGTATATTTATATGTATATTTGTATCTATCTATATATATGTTTGTGTTATATATATACATCTGAATTCAAATGTGTTGATTGATTTCGTTATTCGTATAGATAAACATTTGAAAGCTCTGCGAATGTATGCCACATTCAAATTACAATTTCTATGCTTATTATTCTAATTGTTGGTTGTATTCAATGGTTCGTTTTGGTCATTTATGGCATTTAGAGATTTCCCAACTTTTTAAGTAGCATTTCAGAAAGCCATTATAAAAGGTAGCCAGAATGTTCGAGTAAAACAAACGGACCATACGCAGATAGTAAGAGCTAGAGCATGGTTTGAACAAAGCCTTGAAGCCATGGTCCTTCAAATATTGGACCGCCTACGCCGTTTCTGGATTTTCTTCGAAGCCGTCTTTGATGACAAATTTGGCCTCGGTTTCAATAGGCCACTCAGCCCAATTTGGCGTGGGAGGTTCCTCGGATGGTCCCTCGGAGAAGCGAGCGCACTTGGAAGAGGTTTTGGGTGCCATTTAGAAGAGGGAGTTGGCTTAGGAAATTTATCAAACACCTGGCGGGCAAGAAAAATAAGAAGAGAGACAAAGAGGATTATAGATGAGGAAAACCAAAAATTTTTACTTGGAATTGACAATATATAACTCCAAAACAATCACAAATCCTCCATATATATAATCCCACCCGCCATTAATCCAAAATTGAGAGAAAGAGAAAAAGAAGAAAACTTACCAACAATGGAGGAAATAAAAGCCCTTTCTTGATGCAAAATGGGTGTGATATTGATGAGAGATTGATGGAGATGAAATGGTTGGATGGGATAAGGTTGGAGATGAAAGTGGGGAAGAATGAGGGAGAAAAGGAAGAAGGATAAGGGAGATAGAGAGTGAGCGTCGGCTAGAGAGATAGGAGGGAGAGTTAAGAGGTTTGAAATGGGCTTGAACTTAGCCCTTTTAATGAATCTGCAAAGTGCGGCAGGTGCCCGCAACGTAGGCCGGGCGCCCGCGAGGTGCCTAGGCTTAGCTTTGGCCAAGCTTGGCGTGCAGCTGGAAGGCCCCATTGGCACTCGGTGGGGGCCCACAAGGATTGGCGGGCGCTCACAATTTTGGGCAGAATCTGCCTTGCTATTATGGCCGAACGGAGGCCGGGCCAGGGTCCAAAAATTCTCTAATTAGAAACTTCAGCTCATATGAACCCTAGACACCTTGTATAACCCTCAGAATGGGATTCGGAGCTCATTTGCAAAAATTTTATTTTTAAGGCCCGAATTTCCGGTGATTTTTGAATTTTCCGAGAAAATTGCCGGAATGACCTTGAAAAATTCCAAAAAACCTTCTCCTTCCCCTTCCTCCTCTTCGACTTCTCTCCGCCGTCGACGTCGTCTTCACCGACCGACTCTGCGCCCTAGCTCAAGAGCCGTTGTCGCTTCTTCGCCTTCTCTCTCTCCGTCAGCGACGCATCGGCCTCGATCACCTGAATGGCGGTGAGAAGCCCACAGGAGGTGTCGTCTCCTCCGGCGACGGCAGATTTTCCTGCATCGACGCCGACGAGCGTGGTACAGTCCGGACACTCCCACTGGAGTGTACCAACTAGGATTTCGGACTTGACGGTGGTGTACCAACTAGGATTTCGGGCTTGACGGTGAGGCGCTTACGAAATTGATAGCACTTGTTTGGCACATGTTCCTCCAGGGATATTTTCGTCACTAAATTTTGATTTCAAAACACTTGTTAACCACGCGCTTGGTTAACGGCCCAATATAACAGAATTGGAGCAAAGTGACAACTTTGTAATCTTGTTGAGATTTTTACAAACAAGTTAAGATTTTATGATCAAAAAATGAAAGTAGCGAAGGTTTTATGATTTAAGCTCTTTAATTAATAAGAGAGTATAACCAGTGATTTAACAGCAAAAGAAAAAAATAAATAAATAAATCCAATATAGAAAATTATTTCCAATCCCACAACTGATTAGATTGATTAGCATATGATTAAAAAAAAATAATGTTGGTTAGTTCCAAGAATAATTATAATTGAAATATACTCTTGATAAGACATCAGTATAATAATTATAATTGAAATCCACTCTTGATAAGACATCATTAAACTTGAGATAATCCTAATCTATTGAGTTCCTTTCAATCCACAAAATTCATATGAATTGATAAGGTTACATGAGCCAACAGTGGGATTCATGATGTATATCATGAAAAGAAAAGAAAAAAATCAAGAGAAGTGTGTGCCTCACAATCGTCCTAGAATAAATATGAAAACACCATAAAACTGAAGGAACTAGCCTCTACCAAGGAATCCATATTAGAACGCCCAGGAAAACTCTCTCTCTCTAGAAAGATTCTCTCTCCATCGCTTTAGAAGTCCCTATTAAACTAAAAAATATAAAAAATAAAGAATAAAGAATAAAAAAAAGAAAGAAAATTACAAATGGATGTTAAAGCCACCATAAAAACAGCTCCCTACAACACTGTCCTCTTCCACAAATCAATTCAAGGAGAGGAAGAATATGATAAGGTGGGGACAACAAAGTTCCTCATCTTAGAATATCTAGCCATTGGAGGGGTTCCATGAAACGTTGGTGGAACTCAACAAGAGGGTGTTCCAATGACCACATCAGAGCATTTCTTGATGAGAAATTTTATCAGAGGTGTTGAAGGTTGTGATTCCAGTTAGGATTAAAGAGTAGACGTCGTGGAACAGCAACCCGAAAGTGTTACAGTGAAGAGGAGAATGAAAAAGAGTGGTGGTACGGTTGATGAGCGGTGAAAATGACAATGTTAAGCAATCAAAGGCAAGCAAGAGAGTTGGCAGAGAAGTTAAACAACGAGCTGTTGAGCACCCTATTGGAATATCACTGTTATGATGAACGAACTTAAATCTCGTCCAAAGGAAACATCTAGCTTTTGATTGAATTTTGAAGGTAAAAGCAATGACACCGAATGCATGCCATGCCATGCCATTACAAAGCATAAATTCTCTTCAACAAATAAGTTGACAACTTGAGCTACTACCAGTAAACTGTAAGATTTACATTTCATTATGCGTAATAATGTAAATTAATACAGGAGTGTGCAGTTCTGACCAGAGTCTGAAAATAATACAGAAGTTTCACGCAAAATAAGATAATTACCCCTCAAGGGCCTCAACATTTACAAGCACAAACTAAAATATGCAATTTCTAACAAGAAGACTAAGCATTGGGAGATCAATGGATCACTAACCTCTAAATGCTCTAATCGGTCAAGAAAAATACATGGACAACAATCAAATGCCTCCTGCCTGATGCTATGGTTGAACCAAAATAATACCTGGGACTGCAAAATGCGTGAATTTGATAATGTGAAGACACCATCACTTCAAATACATCGGAGATATTGAATTTTTCAATCTTGAAATTATGGGGTCTTCTCACTAGCACGTTTAATCTTAAGGGCAGCTCTAACAACATTTCCCCTTGTAATGATTCCAATCTATAACATTGTGACAAATAGAGATCAATCACATATATTTACTGCTCATAATGATCCAAATTCAATGAACTTCAACAAAGAAGCACAAAATAGATCACTTACCAGCTTGCCATCACTGTCGACAACTGGAAGTCGGTGGTACTTTGTTTCAAGCAACAACCTAAAATTAGAAGAATTATTTTAGGGTACTAAAGTCTCCAATGAGAAGCCAATCGTTACGTTTCAAAAGCCATGAGATCGTATTTGAAAGAAGGTAAGTCGAGACATAATTTATGTTGTATGAGTAATGCTGTGTGATAACTTTCTGTTCCTTCTCACGTCTTTGCTAAACACATGCTCAAAAAATACACTGAAACACAATTTTTATTACCCATAGAATCCCTTTTCTCTAATACTTCAGGCTTTGTAAGAAGCATGTGCTTCACTCTTAGTAAAGCAGACAGTAAAAAAGTTTGCAAGCTACGCCAGTTAATTTCTCATCCTTGGATGGAATCCATTATATAAATTAGAACATCTTATTTTGCTTAAAATAATGAGCCAAAGCCTCATCTTTAAATGAAAAAACTGATTTACTGTATAAAAGATTAAAAAAAATAATAACTAAATAAAATAAAATAAAATAAAAGAACGAAAAAAAAAAGTGTTAGAACATGATATACACTGTTGGAAACATTATCTAACAACTTAAGCCTTTGGAACAACTGGTAGTTAACATGGTATCAGAGCTTTAATTCTGTCTTGGGTTTAAGTGACCATCTATGCATTTTTGTGACCTATTTGCCAGCTAGAGCTTGATTTATATTATTAACGACATTCTCTAACAGTTAAGTTTTTGAGCAGTTAATAAGTTTTAACAGAATGTTACCTCACAGCATCTTCAAGATTAGTGGTTTCACGAACAACAAGTGGAGCAGGTGTCATCAAATCGCCAACAACTTTGCCATTGGTTTTGTTAAGCAGTTTTTGGATCTCATTGAATGTCTGCCATTATAGTCCAAAAATTAGATAAATTAGAAGTTGAAAGGGAACCGATACAAAATATTAGTTTGAGGGATCCTTTTGCCAATTAATTGGACAAATGTCATGAAACATAACTCAAGAAAAACTGCTTTCAGTCTTCAGGCCAGGTGCTGTCTCCATGTAAAGTAGATTCTCACCTCATAATAACAAAACTGAGCCAGTTCATGTGCAAGTGAAACTCTACCAAGAAACTTAATGGCTCGTAAGAAGCACAGGCACTTCTATGAAGGTGCCGTGTCCGTATCGGATGCTGACAATTTAGAAACACTCCTAAATATGTGTTCATCATTTCATGAATACGTCAATAATTTAAAAATAAATTTCATTATCTCATACACTTAATTGTAACATTCCAAACACTTGGTGGACACATCCCAGATATTCCTCAACACAAGTCCAATATAAGTTTATAACAGAAACATATTTACGAGTGGGCACGTTAGACGATATCTGTTTCGGAAACAATATGAACACACCTCAAAGTGACCAAACTTTTTTTCTTAAAGAAAAAAGAGATTGTAAACATGGTCACCATTAGTCAAGCATGCAATGACTCTTTTCATATGGGACAAAATTATAATTGTAATTGTAAAGTAGATGAGTGTAGTTTGTGTCGATATAAATTAATAACAATCCTAATAATATTCTCGTATCGTATCTTCTAAATTATGTAACTCTTAATATAAAAAAAATGAATAAATAAAGTTCTATAACAGTCTTACTCAATAGATGTATATATATAGAAATTTTTATTTATCTATAATTTTTCCTTGTCACTTCCATGTCCTTATTTTTTAAGATTTGAAGTGCTGGTGTATGTGTGTGTTGTGAATGTACAAAATAGAATGGCACACAAGAATATTAAAATATCTGACATCACTCCTACAAAGGGAGGCAAAAAGTTCAAGTTCTTAATAAATGTAGTCGTATTTATGGAAAAGCACGTAAAATCATTAAACAGGAAAATTACGGTCTATAGGTTATGAGGCCAGAACGCAATAAACATAACAAAATAATAGAGTAGTTCTGCCATTGCAGGTCTAGCCAATGCTGGCACGCAATATTTCGTGCAGAGAAGAAACTACGCAACTCTGTTCACGAAGGAAAACATACTACAATAAGATTAAATAAATAAATAAATATATTGGAATTATTATCATGGAGCATATTCTCTATGTCTTCACATTCCTTTCTCGGCATAGTTCCGGCTTTTCCCCGCGTTGTTCCGGCCATTTCCCCTCGTTGTTCCGGCCTTTCTCCGGCGTAGTTCTGGACATTTCCCAGCGTAGTTCCGGCCTTTTCCCGGCTTAGTTCCGGCCTTTCCCGGCTTTGTTCCAGACACCTTTTCATTATTTCAAGGCATTTCTTTATCAAGTTGGGCATTCATGATATTCATGCTCCAATTTGAAGGGAAGTGTTGAAATATATAAATATTTCTACATTGGAGCAAAATCCTCCACCAATCATGGTGATCCGATCAATTTCCTTCCAATTATAAATATATCTACATAACGGGGGAGCAAAATCCTCCACCAATCATGGTGCCTCCTTTGACTATTGTACACCTTCCATATATTTTTATCTTTACCATGCCTATTATTGAAATATATAAATATTTTTATATAATTGTTGAGCAAAATCCTCCACCAATCATGGTGATCAGGTTAATTTCCTTCCAATTATAAATATTTCTATATAATGGTGAAGCAAAATCCTCCACCAATCATGGTGCCTCCTTTTACTATTGTACACCTTCCATATATTTTTGTCTTTATCATGCCTATATATAGGCTCCTTGTACTCGAGCAATATATAGATATGAATAATAAAAATGTAGCCCTTAGTAGCTCTCTGTCCCTTAATGTAGGCCTTAGTGCCGAACCATGTATATGTCTATGTTCTTAATCGTTCTCTATTTCATCTTCCTATTTTACATCTTATATTTCCGCATCCAATTTTAACATGGTATCAGAGCATGCAACGTTCTTTGTTCATTTCTCTTTTTTCATCAGAACCATTCTTGGTTCTCTTCTCGGATCTCTAGATCCATTTTTATTGAGGTGGTCTTCTTACACCTCTTCATCAATCAAGGTTGCTGCTACTCGTTTCGGATCTTCAGATTCATTTTTTAATGAGGTTGTCTTCTTACACCTCTTCATCAATTGAGGCTACTGCTACTTGTCTTGGGATCTTTGGATCCATTTTTATTAAGGTCATCTTGTTACACCTCTTCATCATATGCACTAGTTGCTACTCGTCATCTCAATAGCAAGTTGGACATCCATGCCATTCATGCTCCAACTTGAAAGGGAGTGTTGAAGATTTACTAGAGGAATCAATGAAGGAAAATCTTTCAGTTTTGATGCTCTTTCCTATTGTTAAAGATTTACTGTTATATTTGTTATTGAAGGAATCAATGGAGGAAAATCCTCCATTATTGATGTTTCCTTTTAGGAATTTGTGGAGAAAAATCTTTCAGTATTGATGTTGTTTCCTATATCTATTTCTTTCCATTCTCATTATTTTATTGATGTTGTTTCCTATATCTATTTCTTTCCATTCTCATTATTTCTTTTCCTATATAAAGGAGTCTTCACCATTGTATTGAGCATAAAAAGGAAGATTATTATAATAAAAGATATGTAGCACTTTGGGCTTTCTGTGCCGTGGATGTAAGCCCTAGTGGTTGAACCACGCATATTCTTGCCTTGTGTTCTTCATACTTTGTTTCTCTATTCAATTTTAATAAAATAAAATCTCTCTCTCTTTGATAGGAGGGCAAGAAGCTCAACACAACAAATTTCATCATGCCTTGGTCAACCAACGCCTTGAAAAGCCATAATATTTTTTTGTCATAAATCACATGATTATATTTAATCATACTTTTAAAGTGCTAATAGCTGTACTTTTCTAGACTTATCAAAATTTGACAAAAACTTGCAATAACTCACACCCTACTCCATAATTTCGGAGGATAGTAGATGCTGCATCCAGTACACATTAAAGGGCATTCCTCTTGGGAACTTTTTGTTTCCAGTTGTCATTCAAAAGTAGATAAGATTTAACTTTTTGTTTCTTACCTCACTCTTTTAATTCTCAACTGAACAAGCTTTTTTTACAACTAATTGGGCCGTTACATAAATTCTGATTCTCCCTTTCACTATATCCAAGGCCATAACCTTAATAAACCGCATGTTATTATATCCTTCCTTAGTAACTCTACCTATGTTAACTTTGGTCTTCTCCTTCGCCTAGCATTATCCTCAATGTGGACATTGTCACACCTTCTTTTTTTCTTTTCTTTTTTTTCCTAATTAGTACTCACACACACTTGTCTCTTACGAGACTTAAACCCCTGACCTCCCTTTGGAAAGTAAGAAGCTGATACCGCTAAGCGGCCCGTTGGTGACATTGTCACTCTTCCTGGCACTTAGTGGTCTTCTTTGCACATGACCAAAACATCTTAATCAATTTTTTCTCATTTTTTCTCCAATTGATTCCCTACTCCAGCCAGCCCACTCCTCTTAATGAGTATATAATGCAGTACTATGCCCATCGTCACGGTTATAATAGTAAGCGCCTGTTTGATTTCTTACTTCAGCGCTGAATGCAGAAAACGGTAAGTGATTTTTAAAAATAAGTGTGTTTGATAAAATTTTAAGATACCGCTTCATATGCTAAGCACTGCTTAAAACAGGCCAAAATTTTAAGTAAGGAGAGGGTTGCTTATCGCTTATCGCTTATCGCAGAAGACGGTAAGTGATTAGGTTTTAAAACTATTTTTTTAATAACTACTCTACCCTCAAATAATCATGATCTCTTCTGGGCTTCTCTCTGCGTTTTCTACAGGACTTCTCTCTACAATTTCTTTAAAATTCTCTTTGCAATTTCTCTCTCCATCTGGAAACAAAGTGAGTTCTCTCGTTGAAAAACTCTTTATATATATTTAGTTGGTTGTTACTTTTTAATTTATTTTTTACTTTTACACTATAGAACAAATTCTTTAAAAAATATATAATTTTACCAAATTCCCAAAATATTATAATAATAATAATAATAATTCTAGGTATTATCTTATAAACACGTCTCTTTTGGTTACCTATTCAAATTGATTTAACACAAATATTTACATAATAGAATTCTATTTCTTTGATTTAACACAAGTATTTATATAATAGAATTCTATTTCTAGATGAGAATTCTTTTTCACCTACTTTCTTCGTAACACCCTTTTCAATACCATACATAAATATTATGTAATCCAAAATCAATATATATTAAATTTTACTTTCTTTAATTTTGTAACACCTTTTTCGATATCCTACATAACAAATATTATGTAATCAAAAACCCATAAATTTTAAATTTTACTTTCTTTAATCTTTGTAGCACCCTTTTTGATATCCTACATAAATGTTATGTAATCCAAAATCCATATATTTTAAATTTGCATCAATTATTTATATAATATAATTCTATTTCTAGATAAGAATTCTATATTTTTTTTATGATTATTTAACATTATTATTCATTGTTAAATTGATATATTTCATTGAGTGAATTAATGTGGTTATTTTATTAATAATTTTATATTATAAATATAAAATTGTTATGAGTACCATATATTGAGGGCAAAAATGTAATCTGTACAACTTGCAGACTTCAGCTTTTGTATATAACAAACAATCTTAATGAATTCAGTGCTTAAAATTAAAACATTATCGAACAGGTTTTCAAATTAAAATACATTCAGCACTTAAAATTTCAGCGCTTAAGTACTTAAAATTTTCAGTGCATAATTTTCAGTTTTATCAAACAACACCCAAGTGCCACAACTTCTCAATAAGAAGAAGCAAGCCACAAAACTTGGTCACTGAAAAAGTGGCATATCTCACGTAGTCACGTGCCAGTAATTAAATCGCTATTGGAAGTAGGAATTCAATAAATAAAAGAGGAGATAGCACATACTTTCCAAGAACTATCAACGTTGGGAAATAAGTTTGCATCAGCTTGACTACCAACTGCACCTAGGGACCAGAAATAAGAAAAATAAGTAGTTAGAAATCTATTCAGGAACTTTTAAAATAATTCAACATCAAGTTGGTTGACAGTAAGTCCACTGATGATAAAGTGCACTAAGAAGCAAAGATTAATACTGGTGAATCACAATTACCAAATCAGGTATATCATCCACATGCATATGAACTCTATAAAAAACAATTAGAGACTTAAAAAGAGTCTTTTCGGAGTAATTCAGGAAAAAAAATTTGAAGGAGAAAAAAAAAAGTCATAAAATAGCTAAATGACTGATTAAATGAATGATCAATCATTTCTACCATTTCAAATGCAATAAAAGCTGAAGTGAAGTGAACAAAATTCATGTCTAACAAGGAAACATAAGTTCAAATAACAGTCCCAGAAAGGTTAAAATGTTGATCGATGTGAAAGGATGTAAAATATAATATGATAATCATGTTGAAATGTCCGAGAGAATGAACATATCATGCATAATGGAGCATTTAATCAATACAAAACTAACTTAAATTTTACAATTTGCATTGTCAACGAGGAATATACCACAATAACGACAATGTTGTCTCTCCTCAGAGTTTCAAAATTCAAACAGTAATTATTAATACTTAAAACTCTCCAGAACAAGCAAGAAGCATATGGTGAATAATTCCAAGGACAAGATTGCCCTAACAGGTAGAAATTAGGTTTACAACTTGAATGGTACCTGAAATTGAGTCAAGTGCTAGCAAGTCATAATCCGAAACAACACCAACCTGCAGCAAATATTTACTGTGGTCAATGTATTGTACTCAATTTCCTATATAAATAGATTACTTACAGAAAGAAGTTCATTAAAAAAGAAGATTTCAGAAACGGAAAACTGGAAAAAGGGAGAGTGAAAAGAAAGTTGGTAACCACTATGAAGTAGCAGTGCAGCGCCTAACAAGTAACAACTACAGAAACGGGGTCTCCCACGCATCATATTCTATGGCTCGAGCTACCTTCTTCATACCAAGTGAAGTGGATTCTCATATACAATACTGTTCACACCCTAAGTTATTCAACTGAAAAATGCATGGTTTGGAGAGGATTGATATAGACTATGGAGTTTTGACCACAAATGAGCAGTTTCCTAGAAGGTTGGAATGCAGATAACAAGTATCCATCTGTTCAATCTAACTCTAGAATTCAATAAGAAGCTTGTATGATATAAGTGTACTTAACCCAAAACCAGACATGGATTCCAGTAAAACATCACCAAAATTACATCGAATATATCAGCAAAAATAAGTATCATAATTAGCTGTAGATCACGAAAATAACGATGGAGTTTGTTTGACTTTATATTTGTGATTTGAAACAAAAATAACCATACATCAACGGATTTCTCGTACTGTTATTACTTATCAAAAAACAAATTATCATACTGTTATTAACCTAAGAAACATATTTATCTCTGATTGGTATTTTGAATTCATAATCCTGGTTTCTTATATATTTTTAGTATTTCTAATTAATGAAATATTGATATCATATTATTATAAACAACTCTAAAGTGTGATGTAGGCCACTAGAGATTGAACAATGATGACCTGTTCGTGGAGTTCACTTAAGAAATAAGGTACCGGGCAAAAGAATAAGCTTTCTTTTTGTTTTTTAACCTGACCAAAGCAAAAGAATAAGCTTAATCAGACAGTCTAACCTGGTTGGTTCGCCTTAGATGCTAAGAAAACAAGAAGCAAGAACTGATATCTAAGATTACTTTACGTAGTAGCATCATCAATCATTCAATAAAACTACATTTTAAGAACGGTGCCTATGCCAAGTCAATTTATTGTTGTTCAAATTGACCATGATGTCCTTTTCTATTTCTATGATGTAAGCAAGTTGATTTACATTTGACATCAAATCATCCCTGTTTTATGGTGTGACCTATTTTTCTACCAAAACTATCCATAAACGATGGGCAGATCATGTGCAAATCATCCCTGATTTACATTAATTTTATCTGAAAATTTAAAATTTTGAACTCTGTTTTATCACTCACTCGTATGACTTTGTGGAACACAAGCCAACTGAAGCAAAAAGATGGGCAGATCATGTGCAATAAGGAGCAAACGGATTATGTGTGCCACATCTTTAGTAACAGGACTTGGTAGCATTTTACCATGATTTTGCATTTAATATTTCTTGGTCTTGGTTTTCTAAGAGAGATTTTCTTTTCTATTCTTGTTCATCATCCTTTTTTTTTCTTTTTCCTTTTTTTTTTTTTTTTTTTTTTTTTTTTTTAAGGACATACAAGCATCTGAAAGCCATGAACAAGATAAATGAAGCCAACCTAAAGCAAATCGCAAGTCGGAGACTATAAAGAGCTTCCAATCAACAAGAACATGCAACGCGGAAAACAATTAAGAATATGACCAAATCATGCATAAAATCTTGGAGTGGAAAGTCATAGTGTACTCTAAATTCAAGTCATAGTGCTTGAATTTAGAGTCATCACCCTTTCCAGCCTATCATGGTGTACTTAACCTCTCATCTCACCTTAACTACTTGTCCATGGCTATTGGGACCAAAATGGCTTAACTACTAAACCTCCCAAAGACACAGCTGCTACTTAATCCAGCAAGTGATTTGAACCTTTAAAATTACTACACACACAAACAATCTCATAAGCAACATGGGCATGAAGATAATGCATCTTGTGAGAGAGTTTATGAAGTATGGACACGGATACCATATACAGATACAACACAACACAAATATGACAATATGAAAAAGTCTTAGGAAACAGGGTGATGGACATGGAAATATATATATATATATATATATATATATACGTGTATGTATATGTTGTGTATGTGTACATATGTATAAAAATCAAAATGTACATATGCATCCATGTATAATTATATACATATATTATGACTAACATTCCCTAATAAAAATATCAAATATTCTAACTTTCTATCTAACAAAATATATTCTCACTGTATCTTAATTCTTCTTCCTAAGAATGTTCAAGTACTTTAAACCCTTATTTCACTTCTCCTAACTGTTAGGTTATAGTACGAATGCTATAATTTGGTAGGAGGGAAGGAAGGCAGTATGAGGAAAGAGAGGAGGGACGGAGCAAACAAGGGAAAATTAGATTGAAGGAAAGGATGGATGCATGAGGCATGCCTCCTGGCCCACCATTTTCCATCCCTCCAAAAGTGGATGGAAGAGAGGAGGTCTTGAGAAGGATAAGTATAGTATATTATGTAAAGTGATGTGATTACTCCTAATCAATTTTGTAAAATTATATAATGCAGATATAGTTGTAAAATATATATAAAATACCTCCTTCCCTTCCCTCTTACCAAACAAGGGAAGGTGTCACCTCCTTATACTCCCTTAAATGAAAGGGAAAAGGACACCTTCCCTGCTCTGGTGATGTTTCATTCATCCTTCCGAACTTCCTACCACTCATTTTTACATCCTTCTTACCAAACGAAGTATTAGGTCGACAAATTTGTAATCAAAACTTATGCTCCATTTGGTAGGATGGATGGAAAAAGGAGATGGAAAAGAGAGGAGGATGGATGGATGAGGCAATCCTTAGATAAGGGAAAGTGTCAATCCCTCCATTTGTTTGGTTGGATGGAAGAGAAGTAAATGGTTACTTATCAAGAAAAAGAAAGAAGAGAAGGAAATAGATAATATTACGACTTTACCATTGGACCCTAAAATATATAAATTAATACATTTAAATGAGGTTAATAATGTCATTTCCATTTTATTTAACAATTATCATATTTTCGCACTCCTCTTCCACCCACTATTGGATGGAAGCAAAATCATGGGCCCAAAGGTAAGCCTCATCTCTCCTCCCATCCTTCCCTTCTTCCTCTCCCTACTACAAAATAACAGAAACTTGTCCCTCCTTCCTCTCTTCCCTCTCCAGTCCTTCATTCCGCCCTACCAATAGAAAATGTATTTTTGTTTATTTTAGAGTGTCTAGTTAGTTAAGCCTGTTGTGGTACCTTGTCCAATGGCAGATCAGGAATTTCACCAAGTTGCAAGGATGAAAAGGAAATTTACAACTTGAATTGGGACATTAGCCAATAGGGTTTTGCATATAGTATTAATAATTAAGGTTTGTTTCAAGACCTATTCAACTTCTACTCTAGGTCTAAAACACGGCCTTGCAATACGCAATTCAGAGCCTAGAGTGTGGTCCAATAAACTTCTCACTAACAATTATAAAAAAAAAAAAAAAAGATGCAAGTCAATGCTCAACTACTTGTCAAACATGTGTCCTAGACTATTTAAAAAGAATTAAATATATGTTCAAAATAATATCTATATATATACATTCAAAGCATGAATATGTTTGGGAAGAATAGGACACATGCCTGCAAGTATCTAAGGAGTATCGATATAGATACAATATCAATACAACTCCGTTATATTAGTATTTATGCTTCATGGGAAATCGTCTAAACAAACAAGTAATTCTGCCCATGTTTTTGGGTGCTTCATTCAATGAATTTTCACAGCTTCTTCTAACATGAGACATGCTTTTAAATCTTACCTAATCACGATTTTTATCATATATAACCAAAATGCATGACATCATGCTGCTTCACTAGCTTGTCCCAACTCATAATTTGCCTCTAAGCTTCTAATTACTATTGCGCAGATATAAAATAATTTTTCACATTCAAGCAATGCTGAACATTTCCAAAAAGGAAATTATGAGCTTCATTTTATCACAATGAATTCCCCTTGCAATTCCAAGTTCCATGAGATGTTTCATCCCCATTCCATTCATATATTTGCTTTCATGGAGTATATTTGTGACCAAGCCTTCACTTTGATGGATCCTTCCAACAAGAACATCACATATTACCGGCAGCAGAACTTTGTTAGGTGCATAACAATCATAAAATCAGTGCCTTTCCTGATGATAAACTACAGAATAGGATCATAAAGGGAGGCACATTGCCACATCAATTAGCAATTTATATCATAACAATTTCATAGATTTTATCCTTCATAATTCCAAAAAGTGTATATCCCAACTCTAGGAACCATAGCTGTTCTCAGAAAAGTAGTCAAACAAAATTTCACCATGACTTAGAAGTTAAAAGCATGAATGAGATAAAATGCTAATAAAACAGCAACCCCATCCACACAATCCATGATCTAGAATAAAGAAAATAGGGATATTGACCATATAAAAAGGATTATCAATAAAAAACAAAAGTTACCAATTTCCAGTCATCATCTATCACAGGAAACCCAGTAATTCTTTTCTCCACAAGAGTCTCCAGTGCTGTTAATACAAAGGCTAGTAATCAGATAATGAAATATAATTAAGATATTCACAGTAAGGAAACCAGGACAAAAAGTACCTTCATCAACAGTTGTCATAGGTTTCACAACTTGTAAATTTTCTTTTCTTGTCATAAAATCACCAACCGTATATGTTCCATCTCTTGACTGCAAATTAACATACTAATTATGATTAAAGACTGAGGGAGCCAATACAAATAGAAAAGGTTAACAAATGCATTCTCCCCATTTCTTGCCCAACAAGAGAAAAAATTGAAAAGGGCATCCAAAAAGAAGATGAGAACGGTTAGGGATACCGCCAGAGACTATGGATGCTTCAATGGCTTCCTACGTGTAGCTGTCCAAGCAGCTGCCCAGGTATGTTGTAGAAGCATCTAGGAGCTCTATCAATAACATTCCAAAAAGGAAAAATCTGATGTACCATGAAATCATTCAAAACCACCATAGTAAATAATTCCCATAAGGATAATACCTAGGGATGGCAATTTGCCCCACCCCATTTAAACCGGTTTTGGGGGAACTATTTAAGGAATTTGGGCAGGGACGGGTTTTATGAGGAAAAATTCGCGCGGTTTCTGTGCAAGGGCAAGAGATGGTCCCCTCGCCCCGCCATGTTTAGGATTATTGTGTATTGTTTTTTCTTTTGGAAATTAAATTAATGTGTATTGTTGTCATTTGTAATTTGAATTTTATGCTAAACTATTATTGATAATTTTTTTTGTGTGGGTTGTATTATTGTATACTTCTAGTCTTGTTTAATTGTGGGATACATTTGGGGGGGGGGGGGGGGGGGGGAATACATTTGGGAGTAAACGGGGCCAGTCATGTGTTAGTGGAGGTACAAAAACATAAACGGGGACGGGGTAGCAGGGCAACCCTTTTAGGCGGTTTTGGGTGGGGGGCGGATTGGGGTATTTTAAACGGGGGCGGGGTCGGATGGGGGTACACCCGCCCACAACCGCCCCCATTGCCATCCCTAATAATACCTCTAGAAAATATTACTGCAAGATTAAACAATAATAGTTCAAGAAAATCCTCAAGTAATTAACCTCAACATGAGGGAATGGAATATAGTAGCTTTATCTTATTAGTTATTAATACAAAAAAATTCCCTCAACTATAAATGGATTTGACTTTTCTGTTAGGACTTAGAAACATGTTGCTTATATTAAAAGAGCTCCACTAGATTCTCTTACTTTCCATTAAATATCAGGCGCTCAAGTGAGAAAAAAGCACGTTTGCATGTACAGAAATTAAGCAACCAGTTGTATAAATAGTGCCAGCAGTTAATTCTATTCCAGAGATACCCTCCTAGCACTCTGAATTGGTAAAATCAATACGGGCAATTGCCATTGTTAGGCTTTTGCTCAGGCCTACATGACCAGGCTCTGACAAGTTTATTCAAGCTTTTGAAATTCACAAACAATGTAGACTAGTCCCGATTTAGCCTAGCCAAGATCAAAAGTTGAAATTCTAGTAATCAGATCCAATAAGCAAACCATTGTTGTGTAATCTGAGATTCACGTCAACCACACCAGCAAACTGCCACTTATCTAAGACAACATAATAGCATAAAAAATCCATCAAATAGGTAAAGCACTATTGGGTATTGAGTCTCAAATTCCTACTCTAATTAGGCTTCGTTTTAGAAGCATTCTGTTGAGAAAATTTCTTGCTGGGATATACTTGGGTTCTAAGGAATTGTGTTCCTTGTCAAAGAAGAACTTTGGTTTAGGATTCTATATATAGATGCATAGGCTTTTCACTTTTGGTTTGGACTTGAGAGATTGAGGGAGGAGTAGACTCATGGGGGAATTGATGGCTCTCCCTAGAGATATGGAGATGGAAGGTAGAGTTAAAAGAACATTGACAGTGAGCAAGGAAGCTGTGACTTTGTTGGCTCATGGAAGGGTACATCAAGAACAGCTCGGGTTTTGGTTGCAAAATAGTTTAGGGGAATCCCAGTACTAGGGTGTTTGGTTTTCTCTAACAAATTATAGTGGATTGTCTCTTCTCATCCATTAATCAGCCGGCATTTGTAGAAGCACATGTCTTGTGTTTCTTGAGTGATTATCTATTATTTATGATTTATGATTGAATTGGATCTCTAAGAGTAACATCAAATTGATAAGAAAGATCTTTCTTATCTTCCGATTCATCAAGATCAAGAACGTATTCCAGTCAATCAAAACAAAATCTTTTTCGATTGGTTGGGAATGAATGAAGAAATACTAAAATTTTCCCATATCGAATCTGGAATTTTGGTTCTTCCTAGAATTTTCTTTACTTAATAAAAATATATATAATTCAACCATGGGTTATACCAAGCAAATTACTTCCTTTAAACTTGAATATAATTGAAAATTTTAGTGAAAATAAAAACATCAATGGAAAGCAAGAAATGAATTGTTTTATACCTTCCAATAAAATAAAATAAAAAATCTTTGGAATTAAATAATAGAAAGCAAGAAGAAAAAGAAAAAGAATTGGATCAGATGCACAAAACAAAAAATATCTCGGATCCCTTCTCTCAAACCAACAAAAAGATATTGAAGAAGATTATCCGGGATCAGATATGAAAAAACGTAAAAATAAAAAAACAAAACATGAATAACACGGAAGCAGAACTCCATTTCTTCCTGAACTAGTATTTGCTTCTTTAGTTGAGATGGAATGAGACTTTGAATATAAAAATAAATAAAAAAATCAATAATAAGTGCTTCCACCTGCACAGATTGCTAAGAATCCAATATCTAAAAAGAATTAAAACATAATTTATGAACAGAACATATCCATTTTCAAAATCTCCCTGATTATGTAAATAGGTTCTAACTACTTCAACATAACCCTCCCTTTGGTGCTGAGATAACCATGAAAAAGAAGAAGTAAAAACTTGTTTTGAAAACCTACACAATTATATTAGGCAAAGTTTGATTTATCAGGAATACTAATCAAACTGATAATTTGTATCCATACATGTAACATAAAGGTCAGTATGGAGACAATAAATTGTGAATTTGTACTCATTTCTCTAGCCAAATGATCTCCACAACCAAACGGGACATAAACAATTTGGTAAAGCAATCTTATTGACAATGTGAAGAAAATCATAAGAAGTTTCACACGTATACATATGAATCTATGTGTGTGTAGGGAGAGAGAGGGTGATTTACCGGCGAGGAATTAGTGATACCGACGGCGGAGGGTGGGCGGCGAGGTTGAACGCCGAATTGGAGGCGACGGCGAGGGAGAGAAGAGGAGTGGGAGAGAGGAAGGCATGGTCGGTGGGGGCTACGATACGAGAGAGTGCACAGTAGGTGATGATGATGAACGGCTGATACAGCAGCGCCGGGTAGTGGGGCCACCATTTGAGAATCGGCGAAGCGGATCGAATCCATGAGCGTTCGTTTTTTTGCAAAATGAAGAGAGACGATTCGTTAAAAAATCATATATATATTCCACTGTATGTATATAATATCATACATACATTATATATAGAGAGAGAGAGAGAGAAGAGAAAGAGAAGTGTGGTAGTGCTTGTAGTTGAAAGCAGAGGAAAATGTGTTCTCCGTGAAAAATGGAAAGGAGAATAGCACCAAGTGGGGGCGGTGAAGCAGCTGAAGCTCCAAAACCTCCAACTGAGACTCAACATGTGGACCCACACCGCACACAAGTTGGTCGAGATTTATGATTTTTTTGGCGAGATTTATGATTTTTTCGGTTAAATAATATTCTTTAATCAAATATTTACACAATTTGATATCATATCATAAACGAGGCTTATCAACTTAGATAAATATCTTTTTCTTTTTTAAAAGATTTTTTTTTAAAATTAATAATCTTTTTATTTTTTAAATCTAACTTATAGCCCTCATCTCCTCGTTAAAGATAAAAAGATAATATTATTGGACTGCAGCTGTTTAAGTAAAAGAGTTGTAAAATTATTTTAATGAACAGATCATAATCTTTTTATTTAGGTCACATAAAGCGCCAGAGAGAGAATGAGAGCGAATTCGAAAGTGAGAACGTGAGAACAATAGAATTAAGTCATAAATGATGAGAATTTAAGTCAAAACGTTCACGAAGCATGAGAGCGAAAGGAATTAAGAGTAAACTACCATTTAACTTTTTATTGAGAGGAATTATGTAACTTAATTTTTTATTGAGTTAAATTAAGAGTTTACCGACTAAATCTAAATTAATTAATGTGTAAACTACCATTTTTTTATTTGTTAAAAAAAATTTTAAAAAAATGGGGCCCAACCAAAAGGCATGAATAATTCAAAGCAAAAGTAGGTCGGCTATTTAAAAGTTGGTAAGCCTCGTTTATGACATGATATCAAATTGGTACAAGCAACTGTTTATTGACTTTTCAGCAGTCAATATCATGCCCTAGAAGTTTTAGCTTGTGAAAAATTGAGTGGTCAGAGAACATTCCATTAGTTTGTTCTCTCTCGCTCTCTGTTCAGCATTCAAACAGTTTCATATGCAATGTTCAATTTGTTGAATCTGAAATTTCAAAGTTCTTAATTTTTGGCAAAATATTAACTTTTTCTTTCCCAGTAAGAGCACTCCCTTAGCCTCATAAAGGGCATGCACAAAAGTAACATCATCTCCCTAATAGACTTGCTCGTCACATTTAATATTAAGGTAGTGTTATTAAGAGAGTTATCTTATTTGTGACGAGTCAAAAATTTTCTAAAATTTAAAGATGTATTAAATGTTTTATTATAGACTTAAATGGTCAATTTCCACTTTAAAGTTTAATAATTTATCATAATTAACATTGAAGGGTAAAATATAATGACGTCTCCTATTGAATGTATGAATAACACGGACCTTGTTATTAAAATCCATTTGTATTGTCGGTTGATGCCTTAAAATTAACTTAAAACCCAATTTTGCCCTTAGAAAGCTTGAAAATATATTTGTGTCCATGTGTTGTAATAGAAAATAATATAAAAGTATAAGGAGTATAATTGTCATTTAATATCTTCAAGTCAACACTGAGACGGGAGGACAATATCATTTTTTTAAACCATAGAGCCTTATTTAGGCATTCAACAGGGGAGGTTAGGGTAGTTTACTTTAAACTCTTGTACCATCTTCAAAACTTGGTTTAGGTGCACAATGTATGTATTTCTTGAGACGTTTTAGCCAATGTCATTGACAATTGAAGGGCATATAATTAAATTGAAGATCCAATTATTTTATTTGATTCAAATGCTTTACTTTATTTGATTCAAATGCTTTATTTGATTGTTATGATAATACAATGCCCAATCAAGTATTTACTTCGACTCAAGTGAATTGCAGAAATATTAAATACCCATTTAATAAATCAACCAAGAACTTGAATGACCAACCCTAAAAGCATAACTTAATGGCAAAAACCTTCGCATCACATATTTCCAAAAAATCCGAATGCCCTTAGGGCCATCCCTAAGGAATTTTTTCAATAATTGCCTATTACTTGCGAGACGCGGGAACTACATGTGCACAATAGTAAATTATGAGGCGCTTTAAGAGAACAGACACCAACGTGGGTTGGCACAAGAAAAAAAATTAATAATAATACTGTTAACTTCTACCACCTAACTCAGTATAATGTAAGTCTCCACCTGGATATGTGGAAGTTTTACAACAGCAGCCAGACATGGGCACTCCTAGCACTACTATGTCAACAATTAATCAGCCTACATGGAAGAAATGACCACCCAAGTGTTAGAATCTATTCATTTATTCATGTTGGATTTAGGACATATAGAGGACAGTGAGTTCATATATGATAACCCACTAATCTGCTCCAGTCCAAAGCAAAATTTATTACACACGCCTACCAGCTCTCCACGGACAAGAATCCTCTCATGTGGAACAGGAGAATCTGTTCTCCCGATTCCCACTGTTCAAGCACTGTAGCGGTGGTAAAAAGGGCTAAATTGGACTTTTGAGTAAAAAAAGTATATACACACACAGAGACATATACGAAAAACACACACACACATATGCATTGAAACTCAAATTTAAGCGGCAAATTGGAAATTCCAAATCAGATTTAGCCCCTTTTTCTAATCTTCGTTATTCTTCTTCTCTCCCAATTTTTCTTCCTTCTTTCCAAATTTACAATTTCTTTCCAAAGGTTTGATCGGAATTGGCGGGAACAGGCACAGGAGAGGATTTCGTCCCGCTCTCCACCGCAACTGCTTATACAATACCAAAGTGCTGAATGAGACTGAAAAACTACAAACTCAAGATTTCCACAATGGTACTGAACTTAATATATGACAGAATGACTTCATTCCAATGTTATACATAAAAAACCTCATTACTTATGTATACGGAGACGTAAATATATATGCATGTTAGATTTAGGGTTCGTTTGGCATAACTTTTGCTTCTGCTCTTACATAAAAGAGAGAGAATCAGAAGCAATCACTTCTATTTGACTTATTTGTTAGTGTTTGGAAACTATATTTTAGAAGAGTTTTTAATGTTAGAAGAGTTTTTCTGCCTGTTTGATAAAGCATTTGTTAAAGTTTTTTACTATCTAAATAATTTTTTTTACCAAAAGATGGGGTGACTGTATATTTTAAAAAAACTATTTAACAGCATAAAGTACTTACATTATTTTACATAACACTATTTCTTTATCAGAAATGTAAGAACAATAACTTGCTTTAAAAAAGTCAGATATTAATTTCATCTCATAGCTAATACAACAAAATGGAATTTTAACAAAGTATTTACCTAAGTTCCATATCAATTTTATGTTTATCAAAATGAAATTTTAACAAAGTATTTCCATATCAATTTTATTCTGAATAGCTTTCATTTATCTCATTTTCAATGAAGAGTTGGTAAAGAAAAAATAAATATAAGGATTGGGATATAAAAATAAAATACACATTTAATGAAAAATTAAGTAGCACAATAAAATAAATAAATAAATTGAGTTGCAGAACAACCAAGTGCATTGTGATGTCATTATTCTATTTAGTGTATTTTACATATCAATTGTTTTATTTCTTTTTATTATTTTTTTTATTTTTGTATTTTTTTTTATTCCGAACTTCGTTTTTGTTTATGAACACGCTGGTTGAATCCATTCTTGTCTTCATATGGGAGGAAAAAAACAAAACACAATTCTTATTTATCTACTTCAGCGTGGAAAAACGAACATATGCTAAACCATAATATATATACTAAAATTCAGATCCACCCGGTATATCTTTGATCGAATAAAAAATAATAAATAATAAAAAAAAAGAAAGCAGAAGAAGAAGATGGGCTGAGATAGAACAATGTTAGATGATGGTGGATCTCATGTAACCATGTTAGGAAACTTCCTGAATTCTCGAAGTCTCAACCAACACAACGGACTAATCTTGAGGATGAGAAAAAGGAGAGGACGAACCTGTTGCTATATGAACCAAATGAAAGAAACAATCTATGATGCAATTAGGTTACTTTACATATATAGGTATACAAGTAGAATACTTCATTTTTTGTTCACAAATATGGAGCACCGTGTCTTTAAAAAATTAGCCAAACACTTCTCAAAATAACTTCCAACTCCAAAAAGGCTAAAAGCAGCATTTCAAAAGCCAATCCAAACAGATGAACGCAACTTTGGCAGACAAGTATATGCACTCTTTAATTACAAGACTTGATTAACAAGAAGAAAACAAACAAATGGATGAGAAACTTCAGTAACTACATAAATGTTAGACAAGCGACATCAGAAGCTAGGATAGAACACTGACCCACTTTATCCCTTCTGTTTCTTAACGTTTCAGTCAAAGCCCTTGCTGTACAGCCAATTCATTATGACGACAAATCATCTTAATTTGCAAGAATATGACATTGAAAATATGCTTTTCTATAAACAAACAGTAACAAATCGGTTCATATCTTCAGGCAACTAAGCTCCCACAAAACTATATGCACAAACTATGTAAGGAGTGAAAAAGCATAACACCCCTTGAAGGGTATACAAACCTGTTGACAAATTGTCGTAACAGCCTCAAATGGGGACCTAAACTGGCATTGCACCAGTTCCTTAAATTAGGCATCTTGTCTATTAACATGCCTTAGCCTAATTCCTACATCAGCTTCCCGGTCATGTAGGATAAAACCAGGTCCCCGTGAACTAGAATTCTGCATTTCTGAGGGCACATCAGCCTCGTTTTGTCTCTCCATTACATGTTCCCCGTAGTTATGAAGCCTACGACCAATCAAATAACGGTCATCACGAATAGAATTGTGGAGGTTGGTGAACCATACATGGAATCTCTTGGCACAAAAGCACAAAAAGCTGAATCCAAGGCATCCCAACCAAGCAAACCTGTAGACAGCTGAGTTTACTACTAACGGGTACCCAAACACGGGAAACACCCCTCTAGCTAAAACGTAGGGAACACACAGCGCAGTAAGCAGTTTCATAATAATAGGGAACACTATCTCCCGCAGCACCCAAAAGCCCTGCAGCCTGGAGAAACCATCTTCCCTCACCCTCTCAAATTTTATTCGCCAACCTTCATCCACCAGGGGCATCATGTGATCCAGCATTACCTGTTCATCACGAAACAAAAACCAAATAAATTTTAGTCCCTTGAATATCAATAATTAACAGATCTTTCCATTTATGCCAATATATTTATATCAATTTGGTTTTGGTTTTGGTTTTGGTTAAGATCAAAAGAAAGAAAAAAAATAAAATTATTTTCTGAAATATAAAATGAACTTCAATTCTTGTCAAGATGACTTGCTTGGAACTGAAATTTCGAAAGATTAACTTATGTCTAATCTATATACTTAATATCATAGAGAAATTTTCATATATTAATGTGAAAGGTAACTTCATTAAAGAAAGAGATAATTAGTAAAAGAGTGAGCAAGTTTTCAAGGGAAAAGCATATACAAGGAGAACAACGAAACGAACAATTAGGGTCATAATAACATAATCATCAATTATAAGGCCCTATTTGCAACAATCAAACTGCCATTCCAACTGAGCAAAAATTTGCAACAAAGCACACTAAACAGCAATCCAATAAGTCAATGTGCAACAGAAAAATATGAATGCCTTATTGAAGTCCAGCGGAAGGGTATGACTTACCAATCTGGTCCAGATCTTAAGAAATATGAGTCCCAAAGCCCAGTCCTGATACAAAAGGAATACTGGGCTTTCATCCACAGGCACCCGCATTGGCACAATTACCAAAAGTTCAAAAAGCAATCCAATTAACACCGGGATGACAAAAATCTGGAACACAATGGCAATGTTAAATAATTTACAAGATAGAAACACTTGAAATAAGGGCCAACATTATGATCTTGTCTTTACCCATATAGACAACAGAGCGGAACTCTTCAAAACAATCCCACACCATTTCCAAATTTGGTTTAGCAGAACTGCAGCCCGCCTTGTTTGAATGTGCTCAACAGAATACCTAGCTCCAGCTAGAGCAGTCCAAATCACATAGCTTCCGATGATGAAAGCATAAAGATCTATAAGACAGATAGCGAAAATTATACATCTCATCCTAAAAGAAAAATTAATAAAAATAGTAGTAGTAGTAGTAGTAATAGTAATTATAATAATAATAATAATACTGATGATGATGATGATGATGTGATTAGAAACCAATTCAGTCAATCATATTACCATTGCACTTGATGCCATGAGTTATTGGGAGAAGGGGGATGGCATTGAAGATGGCCCTTCCAAGATAAACGGGTACAACTACTAATGCAGAGTTAAAAATAAGTAGAGTCATCCACGCCACCACCAACAGCAGCACGATGCGAAGCACAAATCCATACCTGCTAAAGACGGAACTGGAAAATTTAGATGATCACCCGGAGAAAAAATAATTTAAGTAAAAAGGTTTCAAACTATGAAAAACAATAATAGTGTTAACATAGCCTATTAATATAATGACGGTAAGATATATACATACATACATAAATATATATATGTATGTGTATATATATATATATAGAGAGAGAGAGAGAGAGAAATGAAATCAATGCGCAGATACACTTCTTTTATCTGATTATGCAAATATACTTGATAAAAATGTCAGGAAAACAGATCATTAAAGAGAAATAAGATACATAATTGCTACAAATCACCTACACAAATTCAACTCCTGAAATAAAAAATTTACTACAAAAAGGGAAGGGAATTCTTTTGGGTAGAGAAGAACCATTCCAACCAGGCGCCTTTTGGACTTGTGGCTTCTTGGCTTCTGACTTAGAATTAAACCATACTTTAGTTTCATACACCACAATATAAGAAGTAATTAACACACACCACAATACTTTTCCTTAATGTGGATGGTAATTTGTTGGGTAACAACGCCAAAAGATAGCAACCAACTTCAGCAGTTAATAAATTCCTTTTATGGTCAGAACTTCACAAATTTCTCCTTTTACTCCCACATAAATACTGTTACATCATCCATGTCTTAAGATCACACCAACTTATCTAGTTAATATCATTGTTCTCAAGAACCACTTCATCAGCTTGGTTTTCACTCTCTCTAGATCTTGTCAACAATATCCAATAAAATCAACCCCAAGGTAGATATTCCTCCACTCGAAAACAAAATTATATGCCCCAGTGTTTAATATGATGCTACTGACTTAATTCAATGATGGATGAAAAAGTGAGAGAAGAAAAAAAGGACAAAAGGCATTGCCTCAATATTTGCAACTTCCAAATTATTGTATTGTTGCCTCAAAAGTCTAAGCAATTACATCTCCTTTTCGAGCATTAGTAGAAACTGAGAACATCAGGGAGGATAGTACACACACTTGGGAGGGAAAAAGAGACAGAAGTTCTAATTCAATTCATTGGGTGGTTTAGGCAAAGGGGCTAAGCGAAAATATGGATAAGAAAGTACCCAAACCTTTTATAAAATGCTTTTGCCTTGTGCTTAGTATATCGGACTCCAACTTATATTCTTAACATTTTCTCTATATTCTCATAGGAGGTTAAAAACTTATTCAGATAAATTGTTTGTGGCCAAAGAATATCTATCCACTTTGCTTTCCTCTTCTTTTTTTTTCTTTTTTTTACCCCTTCTGAGTCAACAGTTCTCAAGAACTCAGAAAAACAAAAAAGTATTTTCAGTGAACTATAAAAGACTTTTTTACCAAAAACTGTCAAAACTGTTTTCTGATTTTCAGTTCTCTAAACAAAAAATTGCAGAAAACTAAACCAAACAGACCCGGAGAATTTTCTAGTTTTCCTTCTTTCCAACTCTACCATCCAGAGGAATCAATCATTGACAAGATAGGAAAGGGGGCCAACCCAATAGGGTCAACTTGAGAAACTTTGATTGCATTGGTCGTACTAGCCAAGCTTAAAGGAGACTATGAGACTTTTAGGTATGGTTGAACAGAAAAAATAACAGTACTAGGTAAAATTCAAACACTTCAATGCACAACCCAACAAAACCATCATCAGCAATTGGAGTAGGCAACATATATCCTGTCTTGCCACTCCATTTTTTAACCCAACCAGCATAAATCCAAATCAAATAATCAATCACATCTAATGAGAACAAATAAAATAACTCGGTAAAAAGACACCGTATTTGAAACACATACTTTTAAACTAATCATAATCAACTGGTTCTGCAACAAATAGACATGTAAATACACAAGTGTGAGTGTGTATGTGTCCTACAAGCAACCAACTGATTATTTGATAAGCAGTGCAGGTGAGTTCCATGGTAAAAATTTCAGAGAAGCTTCTTCCTTGACTGTGTTTGCACCATAAGAGTGAGATACCCCCCCCCCCCCCCCCCAAAAAAAAAAAAAAAAAACCAGTAAGTTAAAAAAATGAGGAAAATTTAAGACAATAATAATAATAAAACAGACACACCAGAACCAATAGAAATTGTATAAGGGACATTCCAGTAATACTATAACCGTACGGCTTTGTACAACTTACTCTGAATCAGATTGTTCGTCACCATCACCCTCTTCAGTAGTATTAGTGCTCCCTGATCCATGCATGCCTCTGTTCAAATTATCTGGGGCTGCAAGTCCTACGAGGGCCCGATCTTGTGCACCTTGCTGTACATGTAGTCTATCCTGCCTCACTGGCTCCCCATTTCCAGTTTCCTGGCCTCCATTGTCTTCAGGTTTGGGCAGTAAGAAATCAGTTAAACCAAGTGCCCAGCCAACAGCAGTGAACCAATAGCGGAGAAGGGACTTTATAGTTGTCCGCAACTTAAAATGCTCAATTGCAAATGGAATGCAGATTTGAAAAAGCAGCATGTCAGCAGGAATTTCAGTAAATGGGTCGGATACACTGCAATACACAAGTGCAAAGCACTAAGTTAGCACATAGAATGCATAAACTGGAAGATGCAACAGAAATAGCAAATGCCCTTAAAACATGGAGTTCTATCTTACGAAATATCAAGTGGGAAAACAGACGGAGCCATTCGCATGGCAAGTTTAACTGGTAAAAATACCAGCATCACTATTAGACTCCCATAGACAGCAACAGACAGCAAAACCCTCCGAGCATGCTTGTGCACGGGATCATCAATAAGATCACGGAATGGATTGTAGTTTGGATCAGCAGGATCTCGAAGAAAGTAGAGAACTCCATTGCGCAAAACCTATCCAAAGATTAATTAAAAAAAATTAGGAGCAATTAGAATTTAGAAAATCAATGAAGACTACATGATAAGATGGTAGCTGATATACCCCTCGAAGAAGGCTGACGAATATACTTATTTGTAGCATGTAAAGGATTCCTACAACCCAATGAACCAACGAACTTGCTAATGGAGAAACTGAGAAGAATTCTACTCTTTGAGTGATTGACTTCCCAAACATCCTTATCGTACAAACATCTAGCCACCAACCACACATCAACGGGAAGACTCCAAGTTCAATGACCAGAAGGAAAGCAACTTTAATCATGGTCATTAAATGCCTCATTGCAGCCACAAACTGCCTGAAAAGGGATGGAATTGTTTCTGCTATTGAAGCAATACCATAGAACCTCCCCATAGTCAAAGGCTCACCTTTACTGTATCGAATCAGTGCAACAATTCCTAGGTAGAAAAAAACTAGAGAGAATATAAACATATAGCCAACGGCAAGAGTCGTAACATCAGACAGCCGTGATGTTCCAACAGATGCCCCTTTCAAGATATCTGTAGAAAGTGGTGCGCTGATGTTGTTTGAGACATCGTTCAGTCCGCTAGCATTTACTTTCAACATTTCTGCAACCTGGCCAAGCAAACTGTTCTCCTGATTTTCAGATGTCAAATTCACAACGGCAGTTAATGCATTCTTCAATGTGATATTAGCTAACGAGAGGGCTGACTCTGTAAGTGGCATGACTGTTGACAGCACTGGACCAGTAGCAGATGGCAAAAGCCACGACACATAATGCAGTATGATCCGTCCTAGTGAAAAGGGCACAAAGATAACAACACCAAGGAATATCATATTGCTTGCGAGAACCTGCAGAAAAATCATATCAATTAACTAACTCCAAAGCAAGAAAATGGAAGTTGTTAATTAACTTAATTTATCATTTGGTAAGCCTAGAGATACAGAACATTTCCAAATATAATGAAGAGCAGAAAGAAGAATATCAATTTTCCCACTGTACCCCCCTCCCTATATATATAAAAAAATAAAAAAGAAACAAAAAAGAAGAAGAAAGAAACAAAGAAAGGGATAATAAGATTTTATATAGAAAATGTTCCAGTAAGTGTGAATCCGTGCAGAATTCAAGCCATTTTTCATCTCAAGTCGTTGTGTATTTAGAGGTAGGAACACAAATGGAAGAAAACGCTATGCATAAAATTTAAGAATCAATAATAATTAGCATAAGATTCCACACAGCAAAAGGAAGTTATTGAATCAGGTCATTTTATTTTTCCCTATTCTCCTCGGCTCCTAGCCAATGCACATAGAACAAAAGGCTCAAAAAGAGAGTCCACAGAAAAGCAATGGGGTATAAGTGAAAAAGGAATTTGCACCACCTCACCTCACCTCCCCTCCCCATTAGTATGAGCCTGATACGATATGAAGATAAGGAATGCAATTGATCATATAGTCATAATCTAGCATTTTTCCAGGAAGTAAAGGATTTAAAATAAGTAATCCACCCCGCACCAAATGTTACTGACAACCACCCATGTTTTAATCAATGTAATATGGGGTAATAAAATTGATTCTCCACCAATTGTACTGCTTAATGCTACCAAGTTTTCCAGTTTTAATGCTTTTGATCAAGAAAATTAATTGAAACTTAAGCTAGCTAGATGATAACCTATCGGTATAGTGAAAAGCATGCAATTGGAACGTCAAATCTATCACAAATCAGGGTCCTGAATATAACAGAAATTCCTTTCAATCAACAAAACAAAAAGAAGTCACTTGCCACACACTTGACCATCTAGACAGCACAAACACAATCAAGATCCCGTATCTAATTAAGTCCATACCTTTAAACCCATAGTAGAATCTCTACATATAACACAATCAAGTACCAAGTCACATTGTATGATTACTTTGAACTACTTCAACATAATTACTAAAAAGTCACTGTAACTCATTTGAACAGACAAAAAAACCCAGCTTTTACAAATATGTTAGACAATGCTCAAAAAGGTGCAGGAGAAGATAAAAGAAAACTAAAAACACAATGCAGAAAATAAAGAATGATAGCAACAATTGCAGGAGAGATGATAGACTCACAGTGAATGCATTTTCCACCAAATGAAAAACAGGTCCCTGCATGCCAACTAGCTCATCAAAGGGTACATCCTCTGCACCATCAGCATCATCTAGACCATCAAACATCTGTTCAACGTGAGCCTCAAGACGAGCAGCCTGCATCTCCCACCGGGCAGCAACATTTTCTGCATTCCTTCTGATTATTTGTCCAGCTCCTGCAATCCCTTGTGCTCCACCAGCATCTTCAGCATTTCCATCACCTGCAAAATTCCTGTTCACTTGTCCAGGAGGTCTTCTTGCAGCACGAGCACCATTTCTGTCAGCTTCATCTTCTCTGTCAGCATCCTGACCTCCAAGCTCCCGCAAATGTCTAAAGTAATCCCTCAGAGAAGTTGCCCCAAGAAAAATAAAGACAATGCTAGCAGAGAGCAGAAACCCATGCAGACAATCAGTAAGAATAACTGTAGTGGAGATATGACTCAAGAAGAGTCTCTGTGCTTCACCAAAACTCCTCACAAAAGCCAACCGCCATATCCAAAATGTGATGAAGGGAATTATGAGAAGCCAAACAGAAAGTACAAAACTAAGGCGCAAAAAGAATTGCAGAACATGGCATGCTTTCATAGCCATCCCAATTACAAACTCCTGAAAGGGAAGCCTTGCTGGAGCATTTTCCGCATAAACAGGGGAGAATGAGAATGCATGTTTGCAGACCTGCAAAATAGTAATGATCATTAGAGGGAAAAGGAGAAAACAACAGCGGACAATGCTGATTAGAGATGATAGAGTCAGAATAGAGCTACAAATGAACTGAGCAGCCAAGTATTAGGCAGATCACATTCAGCTTGGCTGAAATATAAGGCATCCAAAATTGGTTTGAGCTTGTATCAAGCCCAGATTTGCTGCTCAAGCTCAGTGGAGAGGCCATTCAGCAATCTTACGAGCCACTATGTTCCATCACATTTTCACCATCTGTTGATTGTTGACTTGCACTTACCCACCCGTTAAAATCCTATTGGTTTGATTTCAAAATCCAAATAACAAGAGTTGAATAACATAAAGATAATCTTAGGTTCCACAAAATGACATCATTTTTTTTTTTTTTTTTTTGTAAGTTAAACTCTCTATTGAAAGAACAAGAAAAATTATGCAAGGGATCCATCAGGCAATATAAACGACAGTTCATTGGGGAGAACTGAAGAAACATATGAGAAACAGCAAGAGCATGGTTAGCTCAACACACAAACCAAACTGTTTCATTCCATTCTAGGTTTTTTAAGGTGGTCTAACCAAATATTGGAATGGTAATGTACATTCTATTCTTGCATCTATCCATGTTTGCAACTAAACAATAGAATGAGAATGAGAATGACCATTCCTTTGCTTTCCTAATCTCATTCCATTTCCACTACATTCTATTCCCATTCCATTCCTGTGCCAAACGTAGCCTCAAAAAAACCTATAATGGAATGAAATTTTTTTTTTGGGTCTCTTTTTTCCTTTTTTTCTAGTTTCCATGAACTTTTCTCTTCTATGGATTCTTACCTTTATTTTTAACTAAGCCCTAATCTTTTTCTAACAAAACCCTAATCCTCTTTGTTTGTTTATTTTTTCCCTCTTTCTTAACCTTCTTTCTATCATTCTTTCTTTTTCCCAGCAAAACACAATTTCTTTTCCTTATTAGGTTGATAAAAAATCATGACTCTTAAATTCTTAAAGTACATCAAATATATATAATATATATTTATTATTCGTCATGTCCCCAACATGTCCGTGTCCTAATTTTTTAGGATTTACCGTGTCCGTATTGTATCCATGTACCGCATCTGTTTCCATGCTTCTTAGGATCTTGGGTAGCATATGTTTTCTGAATATCAATAGAAATCATATTAAGATTTTTCTTCTCCTCCATATATCTTTTTGTTACAAGGATTTAAATATTATAGTTACACCCTCTAAAACAGCATAAGCTTTTAAAGAAGATGGTAGTTAACATAGAATCAAAGTAGTTAAGGTGATATGTTCAAACCTCACCATCACCCTGATAATTAAAATTGAAACACTTGTTGCACCAAAAGAATGCCACACGTGACGGGGTGTGTTGAAGGATTTAAATATAAAAGTTACACCAACAGCTTAAGCTTTTAGAGTAAATAGTGGTTAACACTTTTCATTAGTCTAATCAATCAAGACGTAAATAGCCTCCATCATTGACCTCAACAAGAATCCAAATTGATTTCCCAACACTTCTATTTTCGGTTTAATCATTGTTCAATCACTCTCTCCAAAGAATTAAGAGAAATATTTAGAAAGCATACACTTCCAAGATCTCTCCCTAATAATTCTGAAATCTCGTAAAAATAAATAAAACTATTAGCATAGAAACCTTAAGATTTCATAGCATTTTCTATTATAACATACTCAATATGGTGTATAAAACTTAAGATGTAATCCTATATTGCCTCAATATAACATACTTATATATGAAAAAAGGTGTGCTTTTAAAATAGTCAAACCTCTCAACAATGAAAGGTGGTGTAGAAGAGAATATAATATATATGGTAAAAATGAGTATTAAAATTACTTTAGATGAGTATTTTAGATGAAAAGTTGATTCTTTTGAAACAAACTTTCTAAATTTTAAACAGTGTGATATTGCAGTTAGAAGTGCAGTGGCCTTTTGCCTAAAAGAAAAAGGAAAATGAAACAACACTGAACTCATACCAGTCAAAATAAGTAATCAAATAGCTTATATTAGTTGCTAAAGTAGTTGACTAGTTCGAAGCACACGAGAAGAATCATTGCAGAGTTGAAATAAGAAGGAAATTTTGACCTTATTGTCTATTTTATGACATTTGAGTAGGTTTTTCAACTGCTCAATGTCAAATAGTAACTAAAACATGTCATATCAATTAGGTTATTTTCTTTTATGAAAAACTATCAATTAGTATTCATTTTTAATTGACAGTTACATAAATCGAACCCAACTATTAGACTACTAGAATTTCAAACTCATCATAACTTCTCGTAAATTTGTTGTGTTAATTTGTGCAATGAAAATAATAACAACATCCACTCATGAATAAATAATTTGAACCCAAAGCAATCTGATTTTCGTAAACAGTGTTACTCGTCCCCGTGTAGAAATACATGTACCTCCATCTTCATCATTCTTCTACCAATCTTATCTGGTATAAAATATGTCAACTGTAACTTTCCTGTCTTGAATTTGTGCAATGAAAATAATAACAATAACATCCACTCATGAATAAATAATTTGAACCCAAAGCAATCTGATTTTCATAAACAGTGTTACTCATCCCATGTAGAAATACATGTACCTCCATCTTCATCATACTTCTACCAATCTTATCTGGTATAAAATATGTCAACTGTAACTTTCCTGTCTTGAAGGCACTGTCAGGATTCATAAGAATCAAAACGGAACAGAAAAAAAATTACGTACCTGGATTTCTCATTACAAAAATCCAACTGCCACAAGCCCCCCACACTCCTCCTCCTCCTCCCCTTCTTTCTCTCTCTCTCTCTCTCTCACACACACACAAAACCTTCGACAATTCTCCCATTATCTTCTTCCATCTATAACCATTTTGAACAGTTCCTATTCTTTCTAAGACCCAAATTGCAAATTGCAAATAGAAAATATGATAAACGATTAAAAAGCTTGCAAATATTCTTTATGATCTAATTTGCTTACAAATCAGGTTACCAACAAAGGCATCTCCGTGGTATTGATTCAAGGGATTTTATTTCATAAGAATAACGCAAAGATAAAGTTAAGAGGTACCTAAACAAACAATTCAATAGAACCCTAATAAAACAGTATACAGTCAATTTATCAACATTTCTACCAAATAAAACAACAGTTCAATATCAATTATATACGAATCACAAAGTCATGACATTAAAACACAAAAATCCCTAATTAATTCACGAAAACAACGATAATCCAAAGACATCTAATCAGATGACATATAGAGAGAGAAAGGGATCGCACCTCGCATTGGCGAGCATTGCTGTGATTGAGCCACTGAAGAAGGCAGTCTTGGTGAACGAATTTAATGCTTCCGCTGCACGCGCACGGGTACCGGAGGGGGTTATCGGGCTCGCCAGGGTTCCGGCAGATCCGACACACATCCTCCTCGTCATCGTCGTCGTCATACTTGCTCGTGACGGTGTTGTTAGCCTCCTTACCAGGCGCACCACGCGGAGAAGATGAAGAAGAAGAAGAGTGCTTGAGGCCGTCGACAGAGGAGGCGATGGTGTCCCTGTCGCCGCCGTCTTTCGAAGCCGACACCGCCGGTGCGATCTCCATTTGATGCTGGGTTTCCAGCGACTTTCTCTCTCCTCTCCCTCTCTTTCTCTCTCTAGGATTCGGAGGATTGCGTCGGTGAGCCTTGAATGGTCTTTCAATGGAACAAAGGAGACTGCGTTAGAGGATTGATCGCGGAAGGTCGGTGAGATGAGAAGAAGGATGTGCTATTCCAAGTTTACCCCTCATTTTTAAAGTTCACATATACAGTTGGTGCTTTTTAGATTTACAAATAACTATTTAAAGTCCGCCACGGAAAAAACATAAAAATTACAATAGCTGTGAAATTACCATGAAGCCACTCTACTACTCTAGCAGTACTGTATATATGCAAAATATACTTCTTATGTCATATTTCATTAAAAAAAATTAAAAAATTACAACTGGGAATATAAAAGGAGGGCTGCAAAAAGAATTAGAGTGTTTGCCAATAACTCGAACTCGGCTAGAGTTGATAAATAAATTAAATTAAAAAAAAAAAATTTAAGTACATATTTTAATTAGGGGTGGCAATTCGTGTTTGTGGATTGTGTTTGTGTTGTGTTGATGTAAGGATATTATACTAAATAGGTAAATTCAAACCCAACCCATTTAATAATCGTGTCAATAATCCTCAACATTGACCCAACCCGTTTATTAAACAGGTAAACGTGTTAACCCATTTAATGACCTAGTTATCAAAACGAGACATTTAATATTTAATAAAATATTAAATAATAGAAAAAATTGTCATAATTAACCCAAATATTTAAAATAAAAAGAAAAATCATAAAGCATAGACAAGGTTTATATTGAAATGACTTAACTATCCATAATAATTGAGTTAAAACAAGTAAAGGTCATATTCACAATTATAACATGTTGAGTTAAATGAGTCATGAACAGATTACACGGGTTGAACCCCTCAACCCTAACCTGACACGGTTAAGTAAACGGGTTAATCGTGTTAACCCTTTTATGATCCAAACCCGTTTATACCAAACTCAAACCCTTTTAACTCGTATCATGTTCATATCGTGTCGTGTCGTAATTTGTCACCCCTAATTTTAATAAATGAGTTAAGCTCAAAGAATCTTGAATTACTTTGTGGATATTTTACAAACAATATTAAACCATCTTATTACATGTATGTATGTGTATATATATATATATATATATATATATATATTCAATTTATACATAAGGCTCACTTTACTTGAGAATTAACTTGGAATCAATACACAACATGCATTCAAAATTATAGAAGGGTCACTTTGCATTAGACTTTAACTTTACTTGACCAACTGTGGCATGTAAAGTCACAAAGCATCATATGTGCACTTACAAACTTAACCTTAAAATACTTTCGGATAAGGATGGCAAATTTTGACCGATCTGCTAACATGACTAAAATACGAAACGATGTAAGTAAGTTTGAATAACTCGTTTGATGCGATTAGGCTCTTTTAATCAATCATGTCAAATTAACCCGATTAATTTATAACATGTTTTAACCTAACTACTATGCATTTTTTATTATTCATTATAAACTCAATATGGATATTGAATTTAGTCTTTCTTCTTCTTCTTTTTCTTTTCCTTTTTCTTCTCTTTCTATGTTTTTTTTTTTTTTAATTGTCCCAATTGTCCACATTTTCATGAACTTAGTCATTCGTTATTCAATTTTTATTTATTTTTTCTATTTGCATTTTATAATTAAGCTAATAAATGAGTTAGATGGTTCATTTAGTCTAAATGGGTTAAATAAAGTATTAAGCGGGTTGTGTTGTATTGTGAGTTAGACAACCCATTTATTAAACGAGTCACACGAATTATGTCGTATTACCTATTTAATAAAGAAGTCAAGTTCGTTTACAGAGTTCCTGATATGATTATTAAACGAATCATGTTTGAATTGACCTATACAACTATGAATAGACCCGTAAACACAAATTATCACCTTCCTAAGTTTTCCTATTGCTCGACAAACTCAAGCCCCTTTCTGCTTACCCAATAAACTCAGTTTATCCAAAAACCCGGTCTTCTCTCTCACTATGTTGTCTAAACCTTTGGTAATCAATAAAAGATGGGAGATGGAGGTTATTATTATTGGGAAACATGCAAGTTTTAAAAACTTTTCAAGGGATTTTGATTCATAGATCTTGATTCATCACATAGAGACAAGTTTTATACAAAAACAAAATATAATGTATCATTCAATTAATAGATTGAATACTTATATCAAAGGTCTAAGTTAACCTTTAAATCTTTCCTCTAAAGTGAATGCTCTCACTTATTGTACATCCCTTAGCAAGATGCCTTCTCCTTGGATCTCCATTTTCTTGGTAATTATTTTACCTTTAGGAATCACTCATAAGCCTCTATGAATGACATTGGAAAACTAGGCTTGTGGGAGTCTCCATTAGATGAGAACATTAACCCTAATTTTCTAGGGAGAGAAAATAGATTCATTTTTCCTTCTTCTAAAAATCACCTCCAAAATATACATAGATCAACTATATATATAGGTAATATAAAGATAAGGAAAAGGAAACAATAAATCATTCTCAATCTCTAATTCACATGTCTCAAATCTAATAGGATTCCAATATCAAGTTGGGCTATGAGTGAGAATCCTTTGGGCTTATTATTTTATTGGCTATAATGAATTAATAATTGGTCCGGTCCATGAATCCAATTCAATTAATTTCTACTCCACTAAAAGAAATTAATTGAACTTCAATTAAATAATAAATAACCTCTAAGTCAATGTTGCACTTTGACCCCTCTATGCATAATTAGTTATCGGATAAATAAAGCCATCAATCCGATTACTTAATTAATATATTTATTTTGGTACCTTTAATTATTTCTAACTCGATCACAATAAAACATTTGTTTGACAAAAATAATAATTTAAATAAATAAATATATAATAAATCATTTTGTCTAAAAACACACAAAGGCCTTCAAATTTACTTTCTGATCAACCATAATCAATACAAAATAAATACAAGTAGCAATGATGTAAATATTGAAAATATAACCCTCTAACTATTAATTACATAATTGCCCAAAGTGTCGGTTTAAGGATCCCGAAGTATCCGCTGAACAAATCAAAGTAATTATTAATTAATAAAAGAGTTTATACTTTTCTTATACTTCAGAGTCAAAAGCCATGACGGTGATAGGGAGTAATTGCATACAACGGCTCTCACAATATATCTCAACCTAAAACGGATCCAGTTCAAGTTCAAATCTTAATTAATTACGAGTCCATCCATAATTACTGACTATAAACAATTTATGATTACTATTTATATTCATGTATTGATCGCCATCACATACATATATAAATATCTCTTGTAATGAAGTGGATACTATCAATTCTATAATGAGTCGAAACATAATACATTGAATTCACCAATTGTATAAAGCATAAATATTTCAGAAATATCAGGAACATATGTCACTATAATTCAGATAAGAATTTGCTATGCCAGGGCATATAAATCCCAACAGCTCCCACTTGCCCTCGTAGCCAATTCAAATTGCATCTAATTCCAATGTTATCCAGATCACGATTAAAATTATTGATCAATGACACATTTGTTAATGGATCAATAAAGTTGTGTTCCAATGCAATGTTCTAGCCACGAGTACATTTTCTTGCCGGACAATATCATGAAGAACATGATACTTCCTCTCAGTGTACCTTGTTCCTCTATGGAACCTTGGGTCATTGGTTTGGACTACTTCTACACTATTGTCACAATATAGCTCGATAGGCAGCATAGTATGCTCCACAACCTCTAAATCAGTGAGATCAAACCAAAAGGCTTCCATTTGCCGCCTTTAAGGCTGCAATGTACTTCCCCTGCAGGTTTAAGTCAGCAGTTAAAATCTGCTTAACAATTTACTAACTGATTTCTCTTCCATTTAGAGAACATACACTAAGGCATGGACCTTATATAACTAATTTGAAATCATAACTATCAAACCTGACTAGAACCACCACATCATCACATCCATAAATGAGTATGAGATCATTGGTTTTCCTGAGGTACTTAATGATATTTTTTATAACAGACCAGTTATCAAGTCCATGATTGGACTAATATCTTTTGACTATCCCTACAATGTAGCGAATGTCCTGTTTGGTATAGACCATGGCATATATGATACTCCCATATACCAAAGCATATAGTTCCAGTCTCATTTGCTCAATCTCCTCTGCTAGTCTTGGAAAACTACTTACTAGATAGAGCAATCCATATCAATAAAGCAAGAACTCATTCTTTGAGTTATGCATACCAAATCTGGTCAAAACTTTATCAATGTAGGATTATTAAGATAAGCCTATTTTCCTTTTAACCTGATCTTGCAAAAGCTTGATCCTAGGAATATAGCTTACATCTTGAAAATTCTCCATTTAAAAGTAATTGAACAACTACCTGTTTATTGATGACAATACTTCCACGTCATTATAAATGAGTAGGATGTTATCAATATATAGAATTAGGAAAAATAATGACATTCCCTTATACACTCATGATTTAATTACTAAGAAATCTTCTTGTATCCTTTTGTAGATTAACTTGCCTTCCATAGGTATCACCCTACTAGAAAGTTCTACAAGATCCCAGATTTTATTAGAATATATAGATTCCAACTCTGATTTCATAGCAACTTGCCAAAACGATCTATATCCATATCGGTTCAAGCTTCCGTGTAGCTTACTGGGTCTAACTCATGTTTAACAGGGATGTCCATAACGGCCTCACTTAAAAACATGACTCTGTCGGATTGGATGATAATCCTCCTACTACAATAATGTACCAATGCAGGAATCTGTGTATAGGGAATTCATATATTATTCTCAATCTCTATAATAAGTGTGTTCACATGTGGTACATCTGGTACTACAATAATGTAACGATGCAGGAAACTGTATATAGGGAATTCATATATTATTCTCAATCTCTATAATAAGTGTGTTCACATGTGGTACATCTGGTACTCATACCATATTCTCTAACATTATGCTACTAGGTATGTAATTCATAATATGATCCTCCTATAGATAAACAGTAAGTGCAAACAATCAACTTTTATCATTGAGATCATAAAATAATCCATCCTAGTGCCTTTGGAGTATCTATCAAATCTATCATGCA